TGCAAATTTTCTTCCAATCAAAAATTCTCTACATTTTGACAATCAAAAAATGATTGCTTTTGAATGATAATGCACAACATGTTGGTCCTCAATTTGTATGAAGTTAGAATGAATATTAAGTTTAAAAGATTTCTGTAATGATTTTATTATAGGAGTATGTGAAGTCATTTTGTCGGTAGATGATTGGTGCCAAATAAAGGACCTTATTAGTGTATTGTTCCTTATAACAATGTTAAGATTATAATCAGAACAATTATGTTTATTTGATTTTAAGGCATATGGATTAGAAGCCGATTAGATTTAGAAAAATTTACAGTTCCTTTTTATACGAAATATTAGAAAAGATGATTCGAGAGCAACAATATTTGCATGTTGTATACGCTTCTATATATTTAGACCCTCGATATCAAGTTTTATTGAGTATTGAGCAAGAATAAATGGCTAAAGACCATCTTCAGGATTTATGGGATAATCAAAACTCCATTATTTACAATTTATTAGAGGCTAAGACAATACTTATTGGTTTTAGTGATAATAATAATAATGATAGCAACATTGATGATCTTGAAATTTTACTTTTAGATAGAGAAGAAAAAAAATCAAATTATCATCAGATAGAAAGGAGGATCAAAAACTGTCTATTGCATCTTTAATAGTAAAATTCTCAGAAATTAAGAGAATAATTAAGGGAATATATATTTTAAAATTGTGGAAAGAAAATTCTACAATATCTCCAGAATTATATATCTTATCTAGAATCTCTTAGTGGCTTTACCGGCGATACATAATAATTTTATAAAGATAACTATCTATTTTTAGGTAATGGTAGAACGTGAATTTTCATCTTTGAAATATATATTGTCTACATTACGCGGAAATTCTCAAGGATGATATTTTAGAAGATATTATGATTGTGCCAGAATAAAACATTTAAAATATTAAATTATTTCCTTTTTAAATTTTTTCATTTGTAAAATTATGAATATGTATATATTGAAGTATAATAATAAATGAATGGAAAAAAAAAATCTTACTTCGAGTCATTGTTTTTATGTTCCCTAACTCCGGACCCGAACCCGGAACCCGGGTCCTTTCAAATTTTATTCCGGTAACCGAACCCGCTGCCTTCGAATAGAACAGCGAAACCGGAACGAACCGTTATAATTTTCTGAACCCGTAACCGAACCGTTATTGAGAAAATATTCAAAAAGCGAACCGAATAGTTGTAAATATTTTTGAGCCGGTTCATCACGGTTTTTTAAAAAATAGTATATTATCGTATACATCGAGGATTGGCAAATAGATGTCCGAGCATTTCTGCCATCTATCAGAGAAATCCTTAGGCTTTCCTATTTTGGTTATAATCTTAATCGGACCGGTTTTTAAAATCGACCCGAATATCGTGCTATTCAACAACACTACTAATTTTGAAATTTCAATTTTCCTTGGGGGGGGGGCAATTTAAATTTGTGATTTCATTCTTTTTTTTCTCGCGATTAAATCGCCATTATCTTAATATAAATCAATACCAAGTTTATTACTCAATTTGAATGAGATTAGGCAAATTAGTAGTGTATTAAATAAGAAATAATGAATTTCTTCAAAAAAATAACCGAAATGGAGCAAAGCCTTTATTTTTGAACTAAAAACCGAACCGCTATACTTAACGGTTCTAAGCCCTGCAGGTCAAAGGTGCCACAATATTTGGGAAACGCAAATGTCCAGTTGTTGTTGCAAGTTACGGCTAATTAAGAAGTAAAAATAATTTTTTTTTTTTACATTTTAAGAAGTGACAAACTAACTCATTTGATAAAAAAATTTTTTTTTAATGAATTAATTTTCAAAACTTTAAGAGATTCATACATTTGTAAATATACATAAAGGTTAGAACGAGATATGTCAGTTATAAAAGGTGGATAGCTATGTCTCACTTAAGTATTCACCCCCCCCCCTCTCCCTCGATCTCCATTATAAATTTTCACCTTAATATTTAAAACAAATAAAGTGATATAAATAAATGGCTGCTTGATAAATATATATAGATATCTTATGAATTCCTCCCTGCTAAAGTAATTTAGCAGACATTTCGATTTTATATCAATTAGAAACGGCCTTCGAAACAGGATGTTAACTTATCATAGGCGAAATTAGCCCTGATTAAGCAATTGATATCGGAATCTTAAGTTTTAGTATCAGTCAATCTAACAGACATCTCGGCATTTTATTATATAAAGTTTTATTATCAAAAAGCCAGAAAAATTGTCATTATTGGATGTTAAGTAAATTTTTATCAAATATCAATGAAACTTTTGGAATCTTAAAGCAGCAGGTAATATATGATGAGAAATGTTCAGAGTTGTTAAAAGATACTATTTTAAATGGATCTAGATACAGATACAGATACTTTAATCAAAAATCTATTTAGATACAGAAACAGATACCCCATTTTTGTATCTAGATACTTGTATCTACATACTTTAACAACTCTGGATTTTTTTAATATAACTTTTAAATAAGGATAAATTTAATAAATTACTATGTTACAAAGTTTATAATAAAGAATGAGATTAATATTAAATGAATTCTCGTCCCATGAACAGAGAATAGGGAACTGATATCGTTTAGATCGAATTCTATTAATTGCTATCCTCTTCCTAAAATAAAAGCCTTTATTTGTATTTTCGGTCTTCGATGTAATGCGATGTTCCTAGATCCTTGAAGAAGGCTAGGGTGTGAGTGCCAAAAAAAAGTTAGCGTTGTAGAAAAATGGTTGGGAAGTAAAACAGAAGAATATTTGGCTGATTATAGCTTGGAGAGCACTAGTAGGTTCTACATAGGAAAAATCCCGGTTAGGAACTTACCACTCTTCCATGTAGATATCTTTAGCTATTCTTATTCCGTAAAATACTAATCGATTAATTTTCTTTAGCTCTGTCCTCAAATGTCGCTTATTTTTCCTTTCAATCTATTTTTGTCATTCTTCCATTTCGTCAATTTTCTAATTTTTTTATTATATTCAATTCATTTATTTCTCTTCGGTATCTTTCTTTAAAATTTTTTTTTAAACCCCCCCGCTCCATTTTTTTTTGTTATATACAATTTCCTGTCACGTGTCATACATTTAAGAATGAATGAATGAATGTATAATTTATTATAATCACAAATTTTTTTTTAATAAAATTATTTTAAAGAATTTGAAATCACTTTTTAAAATTATAGTAGTTTTGAGTGATAATTAGATCTATTAAATGACGGATAAAAATTATGCCCTCTATATTTATTGGTTATATCGTCGGTTGAGTGTTATAGTGTTCTATCTCCACATTTTTTTTTTAAGTGCATTTTATTTTAGATAAATTTCTTCACATATATATAGAATAATCCTTTATTTGTTTATTATCATATTGCGAATTCTTTTTTAAAATACAATTACAATTCCTTTCGCTTTTTAAATTCCATCCTAAAAAATATAAACAAATTGGATAAGAAACACTATGATATCAGCTGATGATAATGTGCGCAATCTCTGACATTCACCAATAATATTTAAACAGATATCCTCCTTTTATATATTTGATATTAAAATTATAAAAAATGCAAAATAACTTTAAAAGACGGGAGAATAGAAAGATGAACAAAAATAAAAGAAGAAAATTTAAAAAAAATAGAATAATGTTTAAAAAAAATACGAATTTAAAATGATAATAAAAAAAATTATTTTTAATAAATCAAAAAAGGTAAAAAATAAATAAATAAAAATTTGAAGAATATAGTGAAAAAATTGAAAAATCGAAGATTATAAAGCCAAATAAAATAATGATAAAAATATTATTCAGAATAGAAATTGAATAGAGATGACAATAAAATTTGAAGAATATAGTGAAAAAATTGAAAAATCGAAGATTATAAAGCCAAAAAAATAATGATAAAAATATATTCAGAAGAGAAATTGAATAGAGATGACAAAAAAATTTATTTTAATAAATCCAAAAAGGTAAAAAATAAATAAATAAAAATATGAAGAATATGGTGAAAAAATTGAAAAATCGAAGATTATAAAGCCAAATAAAATAATGATAAAAATATTATTCAGAAGAGAAATTGAATAGAGATGACAAAAAAAATTATTTTTAAAATCAAAAAAGGTAAAAATTAAATAAATAGAAATTTGAAGAATATAGTGAAAAACATGAAAAATCGAAGATTATAAAGCCAAAAAAAAATAATGATAAAAATATCATTAAGAAGAGAAATTGAATAGAGATGAAAAAAAAATTTATTTTTAATAAATCCAAAAAGGTAAAAAATAAATAAATATAAATTTGAAGAATATAGTGAAAATTGAAAAATCGAAGATTATAAAGCCAAAAAAAAATAATGATAAAAATATTATTTTGAAGAGAAATTGAATAAAGATGACAAAAATTAGATAAAAATGGTAAAGTTAAATTACAAACTACAAAAAAAAATCAGGTAAGAAAAATAGGAAAAAGAATAAAAGAAAACAAATTAAATAAAATAAAATTTTACAAAAAACACTTGAATGATGAAAATAGAATAAATTATTTTCCGATTATGAATGAGAATTTCCTTTGGTTAAACCACCCTTTACCCTGCATTCATAGGGCGAAAGAATATTTTCTATACTTCTCCGCGATTCGCGGTAACCATGAATTAAGACCTCTCATTCAGCGAATCCGCAGCGGAGAATACAAAAAATACAGCTTATTTTGTACATTGCGCCACGAATTCGCTTTGATTGACACTTTTCCCATTCCAAAATGGTAAATCTTATAAAATTTATTGATGAATTTAATGGAATACCTTAAGTTTACCCGAAAATTACTATATCAGTAACAAAACTAAAAAGTTTATAAAAATATTTGACACCTGACCTTCAATATCTAATACCATTCTCTCTGCGATAGAGAAGAGTGAGAAAAAAAATTTAATCATACTGCAGGAAGTGAATAAGAAATTTTTTTAAGAATACCTGTTTTACATTACAATATAAATAGCAATGTGTTAACTCTCAATACAAAATTAAAATACAAAACATGTCTTTTATAAGCTAATCCATTCTCCTTTCGTAGCTTAATTATTAAATTAAACATTTAAGTTTTGTAATCATTTATTATGTTTAATCGCAAAAATATTATTATTATAAAAGCAAATTTTAAAAAAAAACTATAACAAGTTTGGGGGAAAAAAATAACATCAAAAGTACGTGGTTATATTAGGGTGTTATAACTATGAAACATCGGGAAAGGAAGTGATCAAAATAAAATAATGCTACAATTCTGACATAAAAAAAAAGGTTGAGGTGCAATATAGAAGATTAATAATATAGTAAAGTGTATTATAATAAAATCTATGCAATTTAGGGGGTGGGATGGGATTCATTTAGCGAGAAAAAAAAAGTTTTTCTAGCTCTATATATATAATTTCTATTTCAATTTATGGTGCTTGTTAAAAGAAAACATATCTAAAAGTATCCTCCTAAAACTCTTGTTAAAATACAAATATATGTAAAAATTGGCGCTACTATGAACCATGGCCAAGATATTTGTGAGATGGAGATAACCCATAAAGGGCTTGGTGGAGTACAATGACGGCTTCAAGATTGCTAAAATAAAGTGCAAAGACATGGGTATATTAGCCGCGAAGTAAACTATGACTATTCCTATCATGAGAGAAGTTAACTCCCTATCTTCCGTAGAAACTGTCTGAACTTTTTTGCCTTCTGCAGAGTTATCCACCCCAGATGATACTGTTCCTATTGCCGAACCTACTGACTTTTCTATGGCTATCACTTTCTTCTTTTTCATCATATTTGCGAAGGATAGGGATATTCGGTAATTGAAATAGCACAATAATATCATGGGTAGAATCGAAGACAAAATTTCTTTGAGCCACAAATAAATGTAAAGCAACAGTACCCTAGAAACGGTGGAGTTTATAGTCACGAACCATATTCTTTTGCCTGTGGTTTTATCGTCCCTGATATCCGGAGAATATTTAAAGGTCTCATTGACGGCCATGGCTATACCGAGAAAGTAGGATACCGCGATGGCGATGTGCACCCTTCCAATCTTGCAGATAGACTTGTACTTCAGGGCATAGCATATGGCTATAAATCTATCCAGAGCTATCAGCACTATAAGGAACGCGCTGATTTTGTAAAAAGAATTCAAGAAAACGAAATGTACTCGTGACACGTAAAAAATGTACCAGTGCCGATAAACGTATCGCAAACGCTCCCATCTGCCTATGTAATACATAATGGGATAAGGTATGAATAGTAAACAATCAATGATGTCGGATATGGCCATCCATTTTATGAACACGTGGGCAGCAGCGACCGAACCCGACTTGCTCATCTTGATCAAACGATCTATGATGAGTAAGGTTAAAATATTGCCTAACAACCCTAAAAAGATCAATATGGGAGCTATCACCCAATATATCGTGATTAGGTAAGTCTTCATTTCGTACTCCAACAAATCTACCATCTCCATAGGGGACAACCGGGGTACTTGGCTCACGTTAGTCTCCGTCATAATTGCCGTAGTTAGATTTAGGTCATCACTTAAGAGATTCAGTGTGTCGTTTGACATCGTTAATTGTTCCTTCTCTCAAATTTAAATATCATATTTTTTTTTGAAATTTTATTTTTTGAAATTATTCATTAAAAATTTGAAAAATGTTTTTGATATATGAAGTTAATCAAACAAAAAAAAAACCAAAATAAAATGTTTTTGTTAAACACATAAAGCCATTATATATAATTATAAAAAGATAAATAAATAAATTATTTATGAGATTAAAATTATCACTTTTTTTGATTTTAATCAAAAACAAAAAAAAATAATTATGTTAATATATTATATATTAATAAAATTTAATAATTAAAATATATATTATTTATTAATTTGATAATTTGTAAAAATGAAATATCAAATAAACAAAAGCCGCACACGACATCACTGACGTCAGGAGAGATAAAAGAGTTGGCTAATGCCCCAGGAATGACTTGAATGGCAAACTATTCCTATTTTTTTTTGTGATCTTATTCTTTATGAATTCTTCTATTAATTACACGATATTTATTTATTTTTAAAGATACTTATAAACCTCTGAGATTTATCATTTATAATCTATAATGTTAGAAATTTTATCTGTAGAGTTACTGGAGTTTGAAATGAAATTTTTTTTGAAAATTCTAAGAACAGGAATTCCCCGTTTCTAAGTAAATTTTTGTATGTTTGTGATCATGTATTTGCTTAGAATTTCGGACAGGTATGGCATGATTACAACACAACAGGACAAGGAGTTAGAATAATAGGAAGCTACAATTATGAATTTTGGGGGGAGACGTGCACACAGAGAGCTGGTAGGTTGGATGTTAGATTTCGGAGTTAGGAGTCCATAGCTCGAAAATATCAATTTTTTAGAAAAACTTCCAGGCTTGCGAAGGTATAAGAGAATGAAAGGGAGCATGCCATCCGATCCACCAATTTCTTTTCACAGTTTTGCCGGTGATTCCATCATCAAATAAATACACTCCCTTTCGGCACATCCCTTATATTCCTCGTAGAAATTTTATCACCTTAATACCATGGTCTAACGGCTTGCTCTTAACTAGCCTGGGTTTTATGGCCGCATCGATTTCTCGTCAAATCAAAGCATCTAAACTTGGGGCATGGCTTAATACAGCTTAGGCCACCCATAATTTGGAAATCTTGGGTATCCGGCAAGACATCTTTTATTGATGAAATGCCAGAGAACCTGTTACACTCGAATCCAGGAATTCCAGCCTAACTTTAGCCGAACCGCTAAACCGGTATTCTGTTATTATATACCAAACTTGAACGGTTTACAAATTTATCCTCAGAAAACTGAACCTCCAAATAGGTCTGTGAGCCGGTTTTAACCTTTTAATATTTTAACTCTTTTAAGGATGATTAATAAGCAATTATTAGTAGATTTTTTTTTTGTGATATGGCTAATAAAATTTTAAAAAAATGTTTATTTAAGATATAATTCTAATATGCTTATATGCAAAGGTTTGAACCGGTTTTTAAAGGTCCGAACAAACCGGTTTTTTATTTTTAATGGACCGATTTTAACCGAGAACCGAATCGATATTCATTACGGTTTGGGTCCCCTGATTTAATGAGTGGTTTTTTTTACCTCCGTCAGGGAATACATCTCTAGATACCATTTATAATGTCCATATTGTAACGAAAATGGGAATATTTAAAATTTTGTATCGTTAACTTTATTTCTAAATGGGTGGGGGGGGGGAGGGGGGGGTTGATTATTAATTATTAAGAGAAGAAACTTCTCTGATTTAAAAGAATTTAATTTGTATATAAAATGTAGACCTTGCATAATATGCAGGAGGATATAGTATAGACATTTATTATATGATTAGAATTAGGGTTTTGAATATGTTTTAAAAAATGGTTCCGATCCCTAAATTTGATTGGGCAATTATTTTTTAAATTTGCCACGTTTTTGAGGGTTCGTAAGTTAGGATTTTACAGTTTACTTCAGATTTTTTTGGCGGGCTTTAATTAATAGATGGGGCGGGTTAGTACTTGTAGTTTACAATAGAACCCGACTCATATACTCCACGTGGTAAATACAAAAAAATATTTTGAAAATTTTTTTTTTTAATTTCGATTGTAATTATCAACCATTTATAAAAAAAATAATAAAATGTAATATTTTTTTTCGAGGAATTATAGGTAAACTTAACCACACATGCTTAATATCAACGTTCGCGATAACCATGATACAAAACCGAATTGAAATTTTAATGATATTTGTGACTATATATTATATATTTTTCATTTAAGATTTACTAGATAATCTAATTTCTATAATTTACTGTTACTATATTGAATCGTGAATGGAAAATATATTGTTTTTTGGCTGTGTCCCTATTTACCAAAAGTGTCACACAATATGATGATTTACTAATCTCTTTTTATTATTTTTTGGAATTTTTTTTTTACTCACGTTTTGACCATGACATACCAAAATTTACGAGCCTTGATAATTTCATTCATTTTTTTTTTTGTTTTTACAAAATAAAAAAAAAATTAATTTTATAAATAGATAATCGATTTAATTGAGTTATAGGCTGCACAGCGTGCTACGGACCTACGCGATCCGCCCTAACTAGTGTGGGTTAAACGGAAACGGCTAAACTAAACATTATGGCCATTTAAAATATGCGAGATTTCGCCAATAGATGTTCAATCCTGAATGTCATGTATGAGCAAAATCTCTAGACTTTCACGATATTTTTCTGGATAAAATGTTGAGTTAGCCGTTTAACAATACTAGTCCTAACTGGGGTTAAACCCTATCGTAATTTCTATTCCAGGTTAAACATCGGGCACAATTTTAGGGAATTCGTTTTATCTGACTCAAAATATATTTATTTTAGTTATTTTCGGAGAAATTTTTTTCCCTTTTTCTCAGATTCGTGCTTGGAATATAATCTATTTTTTAAAGAGAGGGGGGGGGATGGATACTTAAAAAGTGTTAGGTAAACATTTCCAAGCGTTTTTTTTTATAAAACCATGGCAGGGGAACTCGGAACAAGGGAGGCCATTTTTTATTGTTCTGATTCGTTCCCGTTCTTTGAGAAATTAATTTGCCGCCAAATTATTTCACTTCCAGCTGTTTGTTAAGATTAAAGGATTCCTTCCAGTTTGCTTTAAGATTTTCCATATCGGGAACGTGTCGAAAAGGCCCTCAAAATTTTCAAAAAATTTGGTAAACTAATCAAGGTCGATGGGACAGGTGTGGTAGTGACAGATTTTGGCAGATAAAATGACTAGATTCTCTTTCAGTTTCTAAATTCGATCTGAAATGCAGCCGATTAAAATATTTGGGAAGTCATGGTTGATCCTAACCGGAAGGGTTCGGATAATCTTAAAATACTGATTCCACTCCTTCGCTTCCGCGAAATATGATACTTGTACTGCGAACGTTCCATCTCCCTATTCCTAACAGTATTCGCAGGGAGAAGGGCTATATTGTTTTCTTCGATTTCGGGGTGTATAGCAAATAAAACCCGAATATAGTTATCGTTTCGTAAAGCATAGTGGGCAACAAAGGTTTCGTCACTGCCCAAAAGAATATATTGCAAATAAATTGATTCACACGTGATCGAGAGATATCAAGGTTAGGCTCAGGGAATAATTGGGCCCAAGTTTTCTGAATCTTCGAATCGTATGTGATGGCCATTTATCAGTCAACCAGTCTATTTTCTAATCAATATGAGAGATTTCCTCCTTCTTCTCATACATGTTAGTGTCAGATTACTAACTGAACTTCGAAAGTCTAATTTGAACATATTCCGACAAACAAAATATGACTGTATCAGTGGTGTCCCCTTGGTTTTTCTAACTAGGAAGGATCATCTAATTTTGCTTTTATCCTACAGGAACAAAAAAATAGGAATGAATCCTATCCCCAAAATCTAATTTTTTCATGGGGGGAGAAGGCACAAAATCTTTAAGAGCGATTGGCGCCTTCCCCTATTACGTCACCGAATTATATTGTAATGCCTTCTTAGCAGTTCTTGCCATCATCTTGTGAGAGATCATTTTCCCATACTAGAAAAAATTTGATAGGATAACATTAGAATTACAACTTCAATACTCTTTTTTTAACATCATCAAATAGGATCTGTTCTTGGTGTGATAACATTTTGAATGATATGCCACAGACGCAGGTTTCATGTGAAATAGAGTTCCATAATATTTTAATGAAAAATGTGCCAAAAGAAATATTTGAATGCCTTCTGTTAAAGCCTTCTTATTCTATCATAGATGTGTATCTAACGAAAAATTATACTAGTCTAATCTTGGTAAATGGTCAAATCTGGAGAAAAATAACGAAAATCGGATAAAATCGAAAGACACATTCATCAGTCATGGAATGAGAAATGGAATACCTAAAGTCATTCAAGTAAAAAAAAGCGGTATAACTAATTATAAATTTGAAATTTATTATGATGACTGTTTCATATCTCCTTGACGCTAAGAAGATTAATTCAGGCAAGTTTTCGGGGGGGGGGGGGGGGGGCTAAAGAAATGGGGCTTGAGATCCGATGAAACTAAGATAGTTGCATCGGAACATAGCGATTCGAGTGGAGCAATAGCCAACGGGACCTAGGGACCCATTGGTAAGAAATGACTATTGAGATAAAGTGATAATCAGAAAAGACGTGATACTTTCTAATTTTTGACCTTTCAGCTCTAATAATCGGATCAATGTTTGGGTTAGAGATACGGGTGAAATCGCACTGGTCTTTTCCCAACCGATAGGGATAAGTGTACGCGGGGAAGTTCGGGCAATACTAGCCCTAATTTATTAGAGATTATAATAGTTAATAGCTCGATGACGACTGGGCCGTCCTTTAGAAATATTATAAACTGGTTTAGACCATGTCGACCCTTAGGAGGATCGGAGTCTTTCCCGTACCCCTTAGATTCGTGGGGCAGACATAGGTCACAGACAAGCAAGAAAGAAAAAGTAAGAAAGAAAGATCAAGATTGGCAACAGAATATTGCTTTGCTTACATTAAAATTTATTATTTTTTTTATTTAAAATTATATATTTTGAAAAACGTATTAAAAGGTATTTAAAAGAGAGAACATTAAATAAACAGCTTTAACAAGTAGTTTACTCGTGAATTATCAAAGAGAAACGAAATAATTATATGCTTTAAATTAATAACGTGTTATAAAAAAATTTGATTTATAAAAGTAAATAAAATTCAAAAATCGATTTAATTTAAAAAAAAAAAAATTGTGTTTGTCAAATCATAAAAAATAAAGATATTATATTTTGACGCTTAATCACAGATGATCCTAAAGAAGGCTTCTACCTTCGGCAGAGAATATCAACTGAAATCTGCCGTTTTTAACTGCATATCCATACATGGATCTATAAGCCCCGTTGATCATACCTATCTAAATGTTTAATTTATTATTTTATTTAATATAGTTTTTATATAAATTTTATTTTACAAATAGTTTTGCATGTTATTTTAAATATATATATAATTTTTTTAAAAATAAAAGAAATGATTAATTTTATCTGTTTATAATGTACTGCCTGCAAATCTTAATCTGAAAAATTGTTTCAATAATAATGATTTGGAGTGTGTTGGATTACTAAACAGCAGAGTTGTTAAAGGATCTATCTAGATCCTGTATCTAGATATAAAAAGGTATCTGTGTCTGTATCTAGATCCATTTAAAGAGTATCTTTTATCAAATCAGCTAAACAGTGAACTTGCTTCCACTAAACAGCCTTAAAAAAAACTCTTTAAAAAAACGACAAATAAAATACAAAAAAAATAACAATGTCACCTAATACTTAAAATAAATCAAAATAGTGTCCTGGTTAGAAAGTTGTTTAGGCTAAACAGAAATAAGTATTAAACATATGGACTATCCAGGAAACATCCTTGAAGGCTTAAAATTAATTACTCAATTTAAATTTAGCGAAATATCGAGAACATTCCAGTTTGAAAATTTAAAAAATAAAATTAAGAATATGGTAAAATTAAAACTATTTCAATTTTATTTTAATATAAATTTTATTAAAATTCGAAGATACAAGATTTAAGAGAGCAAAAAACCTTTAGGGGGAGACCGGGGTTATGATGAACCCGGGGTTATAGCGAGACGTGGCTTTATTTTCTATTTAAACTGTGAGGGATAATTTTTTTTTACCAAAACTATAAATTATAATATAATGCATATGCGGCTAATTTCTATTTCTATTGGACAGGTTGAAGAATTTTTAATATGCATTATGATTTCGTACCTACAAAAATAACTTTTTAAACCTTTACTATTTTTCAAAAATGATTAATATACATTTTTACCACCCAAAAATCATCTTATGTATAAAAGGAAAAATCCTATTTTAAAGAATATCAATTTACCCTATACAAAATTGATATTATAAATACTTTAAAATATGATCTTAATCAAGGTGGTGGCATTGGGGATATTTTTATGAGGTTATTAAATCACCACAAGGAATCTCAAAACTAACCTTAATTACCCTATCAAAATCATTTTGGTCAAAAAATATAACTACATACAAAAATTTTGCGTGCAATAATTGGTGAGAGACAAATGTTAAGATAGGCGTTATATTTGGTTGGCTAGTATAATACAACATTTTTAATTTTATATGTAATTCCCTCCTCCCTAATACTAATGAATGAATAGAAGGATAGGAAATTCAAACTTATTTGCATAATTTTCAAAAATATCAAATTATTTTTTGATATATTATCGCTAACAGGAAAAAAAATTTCAAATAACTCAACGATTCCTTTAAATGATGATTCCATTTTGAGAAAACTGTCGCGCCAAATATCGCCTACGCCACGAGAAACGTAGAATTTTGAGAATTATTTTTTAGACCCCTAGTTTCCAGATAAATAATTTTATTACATAAGAAAATTTAATTATTTTTATCAATGATTCAGGGATCTGATGGTTAATTAAATACAATATAAATACAGAATCTGTACTGGGTAGGGTTGCTAAACGACTAACTGAATCAATATATTAGCCAAAAATATAATGCGAATCTCAGGATTTCGTTAATAGATGTCCAAATCTTTCTTCTATAAGCAAAGTCTCCAGGCTTGAGTGATATTTTTGGATAAAATCTTGATTTAGCAAGTTTTTAAAAATCGAGCCGTTTGGCAACACTATAGCTATTGGGTTAAAGGATTCAATCATCATTTAATATAATCGATATAGAAAAAAATCTAGCAATTTTTAACTCTCTATAAACAATGAAAAATAGGTTAGGATGTGGTTGAATTTACATTGTTTTATATATATTTTTTTTAAATAACAAGTATAACAATATGAAATATTATAAGATAGCTATCTAAATATTAATCTTAAAAGCTCCTATTGCCTGTATAAACCTGTAATTTTACGTAATTATACTATTTTCGGCCCCTAATTGTCTGTATAAACCAGTATTTTAGGTAATTATATTAGTTTCGGGCCCCTAATAATAAGTAAAATGGCAATGTTTTGGCCTAAATTAGGACTTCCGGTAAAATATAATAAATCGGCAGTTTTGTATATTTTAATTTTTATAAATAATATATATTGAATAAATCATGTATGTATCTGTAAAATAATTAAACTATAAATATTATATATAATTTGTGAAAATATTTTTACAATTGTTAATCTATAAGAGAATAAGGGTATAAACAGGTGATTAAAACAAAAACAAAAAAATAATAATTGTATCTTTTCTTTACAGAATTCATTTTATCGATAATTTAGTAATTTCGTCTATCAGTCGTTTGTTATATTCGCTAAAATTGACGGGTTTCGCTGACATGCAGGTGACCTTTAATCGAGTTTCTTCCTATTTTAAGGATACAAAAAAAAGGAAATTTAAATATAATAATTTAATCATTTATGTATTGTTGGTAATGTGGATGATTGAGAAATATTTAAATTCTCTCCATAACGAACAGTTAAAAAAAAAAAATTTTTAAATCTCTAATCTTATCAATTCTTGAATATTTCTTTTCGCAACCTTTGGCACACAAGGAAAATGAGGGAAATAAAAATTTTAAAATTTTTTTTTAAAATATATATATAATACAATAATAATAAAAAAAATTTTATTAAATAAATAAATATAATTCTCACGTTAAATGTTTCCACTTTAGCCCTGAGTTTGAATATGTAGGATTTAAAAATTCCATTTTGAAATTTTTCGTCGTATAATGCCTCGTTCTAAAAAATAAAAATAAATCATTTAAGTGTATTTTTATATTGAGAACAACAGCAACAATTCAAATTGGTTATTAGAGAATGCGCCGATGTGGCCAATAACAGTCCCCAGACTTTTAGAGATAGATGCGTATTAATGAAAATGTCCCGAAGGAAAAAGAAAATTATTTAATAATAATAAATTACACAATTAATATATATAATTAATATTTCTTCTCGTTAAAAATGTCTTAGAACTGACATGGAATTTATTATATTAATAAATATCAGAGATGCTGGCCCTATACCTGCTAATACAGGCCAGGTCGTATTTTTATTTTTTTTTAAAAATCCGGGCCATGTAAAAATATAAAATTGGGCTGGACCATACAACCTGTGCTGATCTCTAAAGATTAACGAATTATAAAAGAAAATTCAATAAAGAAACATTAGTGGAGATAATTGATGGCTTTAGGCTCATTTGTCTTATTTTTTATATTTAAAAAAAAATTAATTTCTTAAAAATTATAAATATAATTATTTTCCCATTTTATATAGTAGTGTTTTTATATATATAAAAAAAAATTCTTGTTATTTTCAGTATTAAACCAATTCTCAAGAACAAACTTGGATCTATGTCCTGACAAGTCGGAACAATTACTAACAAAGTTATTGGCCATTCACCACCGAACGCCAAAAAAAAATGACGAAGAATATTGATTGGAAGAAAAAAATCTGGATAGATTGTAATTCAATCCCATTTTTATCATCGATTCGAGAAAAAAATTATTTAAAAAAAGCAAAATTAAAACTTATAGCGCGTACAAAATTTAACGTTTCAAAAGCTTTCAAAACGTAAATAATGCATTTCTAAATGCGTTCGTTTAAATTGGACAGCATTTTTGTTTTGTTTTAAATTTAGACGCTTCATATTTTAAAAAATATATACATTATAATGTTCAATTTTAAACATAGCCGCATTTAAGTTTCGAAAAAGCTGCGTTGAAACGTACAATTTGTGCGAATAATTTGAAAGAAAAGAGAGTGTGCCGAAAGAAAAACCCCCTTTTCTTATTGGGCTTAGATAAATTTTTGTATGATTTTAAGGAATAAATTTATAGGTTAATGTTGGACCAAAAAAAAAGAATCTTTTCAATTTTATGAAGATTTAATAATCATTTTTGGAAGGGTCATCAGTAGGGTAATGACTAAATGTCGGCTCGATCTTCAGGCGATTGCTGAAGATTAGTTTCTTTTTAAGAAAAACCGAGAAGGCCAAAGTAATAGTTTTTCGGGTAAAAACTTGATTTTAGCCGATATTATGAGCGGGCCGAATTGGCTTAAACGGCTAAAAAAAATATAGTAAATATTCAACTATAATAAAGTTGTAGGTCACTTGTATAAGGTTTAAAAATTGAAAATTAAACGGTTATCGATATTGCATCTCTTATTTAACAATATCCAATTTTTACAAACACTGTTTTTTAGATCACCCAAGGTCTCCGCTGTCGTTTCTAACAACATTTCTGCCGCTTCTTGAAAGGCCATCACCCATTGGCTCCCAGAAAAATCTGCTATATTGACCTAAATTTAAGGAACAAGTGAAAGAAAATGATTTTTTATTTATAAAATTACTAATATTATCTGATAATAACCGAGAGAAATGCCTATGTGAAACACTAACTTTTCTGTACACATATAACAAAGTTTACGTTTTTTAGGCTGCTATTATGGTCAGTAGCCTCTTTACAATCTCAGAGGGTGGGGTTCAAAATACCAATTTTTAAAAAAAAATTACCGAAGTTATTTAACTTGCAATTTTCAAAACGACCATTTTTCATAATTTTCAGGAGAGACTCTTCAAATTTCTTACGAGGCTTAAGTTGACCCCAATCTTTTTGGTGAGGGATACAGGTTATTATGACTAGTGTGGTCAAACGGCTAACTCAATGTTTTATTCAGAAAAACATTATGCAAGCCTTTAATCGTGGATGGCGCGAAGGCTTGAAACATCTATTAATCCAAATCTCGAGGATTAGGCAATATTTTTCCTATTTTTCTGGCTAAAATATTGAGTTGGCCGTTTTTAAAATTCGGCTCAAAACGAGTCGTCAAACAGCACTAATTGTGAACCTACATTTAACCCTAAAGCAAACTTATTTGCGGTCTTTATGAGTGTGGTTTGGTTTAAAAATTAGGCCTAACCATCAAAATTCACTCATTTTATCACTTAAGTTGTTCTTTCTGATGCAATGATTACTGTATAATCCGCGATTAAAATAAAACCCAAGAATGCTTTCAGGTTAAAAAAAAAACTTCCGTTAAACTAAATCTTAACATTTCTATATAATTCATAAATTGACATTAATTTTCTACAATTTATTATACGCAAAATTATTCAAATTTATAAATATTTTAACCGACAAAATTAGGCGCCATTTGAAATTGTCGTAATCTTTTTGACATTTTTCGCACCTATATTTACCGTTATTCATATCGACAACCTTTTTATTGCATTCGGTCGAAGGGCAAGCCTGATAAAACAAACAATAAAAAATTATAACGAGCATTTAAAAAAAAATGCGATATTTTGAATTTTATAATTTCGTATTTATTTGATTAAAAATATTCCCCCAAAAAATCATTATCTTCGCATCAGAATTCAGGGGTAAGTTGCACCGATACCACCAATGTCCACAGAGACGTTTTGTTACCGTTAACCAAACGTTACTTCGGGTTAATGTAAATTGCTAGCGAGCTACGAATTTCGTTTTTTGACAATAACTTAGATTGGAGGAACATATAAAACGTGCTAACCTAACATTTTTTATTTTATCAAAATTGAAAAGGGGCCGGGGCAGTGTGGGCGTATAAATTTGACATGGAATACGGCACATTTATGATATAAGAATCGAATGAAAATATTAAATAAAACTCAACAAAAAAAGAGATATCAGTTTTTGTACAAAATTTTTTTTGAGCGAGATAGTCAAATGTGTAGCGATTTCAGGACCTCGGGCAAAACTATGTAAACTTTTGCGATATTGGTGCAAACACTGGCAACACTATTTTCAAAGATAAACTTCTTTTTTTTTCGTGGTAAATAAAAATAACCACCTGATACATGCTGTTCTCTTTCTTGAAGAATTCCACTGTAGCTTTAACCATGAGGTAGTCTGGCTTATCGCCTTGCCCCAAATTTTCGTCCTTGATTTGATGCAAGAACTTCCAATCAGTGCTGACTGATAATGTTTATAAATAAAATATAATTTATTGAAAGAAAGAAAGAAAGAAAGAAAGAAAGAAAGAAAGAAAGAAAGAAAGAAAGAAAGAAAGAAAGAAAGAAAGAAAGAAAGAAAGAAAGAAAGAAAGAAAGAAAGAAAGAAAGAAAGAAAGAAAGAAAGAAAGGCGAAGAAAATAAAAAAAATGATTGGCATACCGCCATTCACGCTAGAGCCCATAATATTAGATTCGGAGGCGTGAACGATAGAGGACTTCATGAGATGCCCTTGAGTCATGTACCACTCCTTTAATTTGGCGCATTCGCTAATGTCGGGGTCGATTTGATACGAACTCGAGAGTGTTAGGGATAGAGAACGCCCATTAAAATCCGTTAACCGAGCTGATTTAACCGCTATCACCAGCTTTTCTTCGCCGCCTCCAACGGGAGGAAGGACGAGATTCTCCGCGTCAGCTCCCCACATGGTCAAGTTTATGGAAGTCATGGTTTGATCGGCAATAACTAAGTCGCGTTTCTTGATCTCCTTGTTCATGTTACGACTAATAATCGTCTGGATATCGCTGGCGGATAAAATGACCGCAATAACGTCTTGGAAAATTTGTCAAAATTAGTTTAATTTTTATTTAAAAAAATGATGAAATATTTTCTGACAATAGGGTACCTACCAATAAAGTTCCAAGGGCAGGAGGATGCCTAAGAGCAATTAAATATTTCTGGAAATTTGGAAAAGTTACAGAGCTTTCTAGGGTTTTTCTAAAAAAAGAATTCTGATTTCCCCCAAAAATAATATCAAATACGAAAATCCTGAAGGAACTCATTCTCAAAGAGAGATAGGTAACGAGAAGAAGGGGAAAAAAATGCCACTTTACCCAGTCCAGGGGATACAAACTTACCCCCGAACTGGTATTTGTTGTAATCTGCCAATTCGTAATCAACATTTATGGACGTTTGTCAACCAAAAACCATTTATCGATCGAAACCCCAAATGAATAAAAAAAAAATTGTCACCAAAGTATGGACCTTCTAAAAGAGTCAATAAATAAGTTCAAAAAAACTTTGAGGGATGACTAAAATACGAACCAACCATAAAACATATGAATCCTCACTAATTATGCATCAAAAATATCAAATTTGACTTAAATAATTGTGTGAGCCATTTTTAGTAATTAATATATAATATTTAGGTTAATTGCATAATCGAATTGAGTCTATAGAATGTAATCCAAGGTTGGGAAAGTAATTCCATAATTACGATTCCTTTTTTTTGTGTAATTAGTAATAACTGTAATTAATTGCATTCCATATAAAAAAAGAAGTCGATGTATTCCTATTTAAAGAGACCTGCTAGAGTGACCATGTGCAGGGTTGTTAAATTACCTAACTTGACCATGTCTATGGTGGCCTAGTCAAGATTTTAGCCTAAAAAAATTAAATCAAGCCTCTTAAGTTGAGTCTAAATTTGAAGAATGATCCAAATATTTTTTGAATAAACACGTGACTACTCACTTTTATAGTTGACTAAAGTTGGGCACTTTAACAAAACTAGGCACTATTCGGATTTTTTTTAATAAATATATTAAATTTATTTTTCGTATTTTTTTTGTTATAGCTAATAAATTGCCATTTAAAAATATTTCGGTTTTAAAAAATAAATAAATAAAATTTAGGCCAAGCCAGACCATATTTTTTTTTAAAAAAAATTATCTATTCATATCTTAAAATTAAGAATCTAGCAATATTTACAACCCTTAATCCTTATAATAGATTTTATCTGCATATATAACTTTATAAAATTATCAATATAATGGCTTTAATTTAATATTTAAATCATTTTACATCTTTGTCCCATTACAAGGTGAATAAATGTGATAAATAGAGTTATCTTAAATGCCTTGCAATTCAAATTTATACTTAGAATTCTGTACAATTTTTATTAGTTATCATCGGTGTCCGATTTGTGTAATATATTGTAGTGTAAATGTTGAAATGGCTGAAGCTGAAATTTTTTAGGGGCTTTTTTGTCAGAGATGAATCACGCTAAATGCTTTCCTAGATTATCTTCGAAGATGATGAAAGATAGGGGAAGGTTTGCAAGGAATGGTTTTTATATGCTCATTATGTTAAAGCATATATGATGCTTTACCAAGATTAATTAAGAATAGCAAATAATCAATTGTGCATTAAATGAGTTTGAGATTATTGGAAATTCATTTATAAATTTTCTGAAAAAAAATATTTTTTAAAAAAAAAACAAATTAATAGGTGTAAGAGAAGACATTCTTTCATTTAAAAATTAATAGAAGGCGTTTTTTCAACCCCAAAATTTTATGTCAATAACTCCCCGAGATTAGCTATCGGCGATGGTAACTTTTTCTATCGCTCCATGTATTTCGCTATTTATGGAGATGTTTAAATATAGATGGATTTTCCAGGATCTTGCATCTTTATGCACTGAGCGGCAGTTTTAAAACTAATATTCATGTCTTATTGCCCCCCCCCTCCCACTCCATTCAAGTGTTGGGATGAGTATAAAAAAGGATTATGATGTTAAGGTATCTACGAAGAGTGATATTAATAATATCATGTGGACCCTTACAAATTTGTGTTTTTTAAAATATTTTTTCAGAAACTTTATAAACGAATAATTTTCCAATTAATCTTACCTCTTGCAATGAGCAATTGATGCTGCTATTCTTAATCTTGGTAAAGCATCATCTATGTTATAACATAAAAAACTTTCCTTGCAAACTTGCCCCGTCCTTCATCATTTTTTCGATGATAATCTAGGGATCCATTTGGCGTGAATCCATCTCCAACAAAATTCGCCGAAAAAATCCCAGCATCGGCCATTCCAACATTTAGACTAAATATAGTAACATAAATCGGACATTGTCACATGACTAATAAAAATTGTGCAGAATTCTAAAACATAAATATTTTATTAAATTTAAATTTTTAAGGCATTTAAGATAACTCTATTTATCAGATTTATTCACCTTATAATGGGACAAAGATGTTAAGCTTGGTATTTATAGAATGATTTAAATATTTTAAAATTAAAGCCATTATATTGATAATTTTATAAAGTTATATACATATAAAATCTGTTATAGGGATAAGGGTTGTAAATATTGCTAGATTGTTAATTTTAAGTATTGACATGTCCTATATGGTTTCAACTAGTCAATATATTAATATAAAATGTATAAACTTTATACATTTCCTCTTGAGGTACAAGTAAAATCATAAATCAGTTATAGATAACACATAAAAAATTTTAAAAAAAATTACCTGTTATTGAGTTGAGAAAATCAATAAAATATAAGATGCATATATATATATATACATAATATTTGAGATTTAAATTAATGTATATTTTTGGAAATATTTTAAAAAATATATATTTATTTATAATTTGTATAATAATCAAAAATTTGACAAAAAAACTTAAAATATTAATTCCGAGATAAACTCTTCCTTAAAATAATTTTTAATAATTAATTAATTATAAATTAATACAATAAAAATTTTTCCCCCATATCTGTTAGTCGTTCATTAACAGGATTGCCAAGGGGGTAAAAATCATTGAATTGTGAATGAGTTTGTAAATCTGAGAATGGACTAAACTAAATAAATTTTTAACAATTATTGATCCAACTGGCTTTTAATTCATATTTTTAAGATTAATGTGCAAGAATAGAGGCCTTTCTAATCTTTAAAATGACTTTCTTATCTATAAATAAAATTATATTTAATAAGATTTATAGAATATGGTTATTTCTAATTTGATTTAAAAATTTTATATATATTTATTTATTGTCATAATGATGGAAACTTCAAAATTGTTTTTTCGTTTTAGGTTTATATATAAATTAGTTTTACAAAAAAGGGAAAAAAAAAATTAATATATTTTTTAAAACCCAAAAATCTAATTTAAAAAAAAAATGACTAAACTGAGAATGGCCATCATAACTCCAAAAAAATAATGATGAAAAATTCAAATATAATATTTATAAATAATTAATATCGAATAAATGTTTTTATGATATTGTATTTTATATTGAATGAGTAAAACTTTTATATTTAATATTAATTTTACTATACATACAAGGAATTGTAATTACGTAATTCTATAAAATCACGATTACATGCAATTAGTAATTAATATCGTTTTTAAAAAGGAATTAGCTATTATACATAATTACAAAATTTTGTAATAATAATTAGCAATTAATTACAATTTTTGAATAATTTTGCATACCCCTGCTATATACTATTAAGTTTGTATACACGAAATGGTTAACACTTGTTTCTAAAAAGTTCAGACTAAACGGATATCAATATTTTTTTTACAAGCCAACATTGAACCATTATTTTGTATGATTTATTGGTTCCCATTCCAAATTGCTAAAACAGAAATGGCTAAAAATTAGAAATCTTACTTCTCCTAAAAAAAAATTGTTTTAAATAAAATTTAAATACAAGTGTTTACTTCCATAGTAGCATCCATTAATATTAAATTTAAAATTCACTTTAAAAATTTTATAGGAGATATAGGCAAGATTCCCAATTTTTAAAAATTTTTGTTTCGTGATTTAGAACCTCTCCCGATTCATTGCCCGTGGTTCTTGGTTAATTAATATTTTAAAATAACCTATCATGATATCCTTTTCTAAGGTCAATATTTCATTGATAGGTATGAAGTTGTATTGGATATTTGGGATATCATCAATTTCGTCGTAACACGGTGTAACCGATGAATCTGAGTTGAGAGTTATTTCGTAATCATTTTTGATGGAGGAAAATGATTTGTTTGCAGCTTTCAACGTTGCTCTGGATATATAATAAACCTGAGATAATATATATTTTTTTTTAAAATAAAATATTTGTCATAAAAGCAAGAAATTAATAACCTTGCCAGCTTCAATCATGGAGTAAAAATTGTCACATTCTTGATTAAAACAGGTCACCCTTATCTCAGAACTTTCGTCCAATAAATCAAAGGAGAAAAGTTTTCCCTCGCCTTTCGAATTACTCCACGTGCGAATGTTAGATTTATTTGTGACACGCGCCTTTATAATCCATCTGTTTTGATAGGGAGATAAGCTTGCAATGGGGTTTATAGGGCCAATATTTTGAGAATTATTTCTGGCCTTTTCTGCAAAATTTAAAAATACCCAAATTTTATCGTAACGTACATTTGTTTTTTTTAAATTGTAATACAAAATGTTTATAATAAAAAAAATAAATTGCACGTATAATAAAGTAATTGCTTTATTTTTAGTCAGCAAAATTTGAAAATATAGAGCTTAACTTTAAAAAAATAAATTAACTCATGCCTCAATGCTAAACATATTTTCATCGATGCATGCCTGTAGGTTAAATAAACAAGGGCTTAATCAAAAAATAAAAGTAAATGAAGGTCTCGGATATATATAAGTATTGATGTAAGGTTATACTCAATATTTAGATGTGTGCATCTCTGGTATTAATTTAATAATTTACAAACTAAATTATATATTTTAAAAAATAGGATTTCATTAAGAGTTATTCTTATTTAGTTATATAATAAGTTTATTAATTAGCATAATATATATATACTAATAAGTTATTTAAATAAAATAAACTTGTTGGATTTCCATCTAAAGAATTATTTACAGTTTGATTTTCATTAGTTTGTTTATAAGGTTCTGGGTTACCAATTTTTTGTGACATATTACCGGGTTTAACAATACTTAATTCAAGTACAACTAAAATTCGCCTTAAATAAGAGTAAATAGATTTAAAAATAATATGGTTTTACTTTTCATTATTGACATTATTGCATAAATATTTATCAAGTCTAATAATGGCATAGTTTTCTAGCTTTCCACTTGTAATAAGATCATTTAACTGATTTGCTAAAAGTACAGAGGTTGTGCAATTTTTACCATCAGATAATAACAATCTATATCTATCAGATGATATATCTGCTCCTGCCATCTTTTTTAATCCCAAGAGCTGAACTATTGGTTTATCAATGTTATCACCTTTGATTATATCCTAAATACATAATTTTAAATATAAAAAATATTTATTATAACTTGAATTACATGATATTAAGCGTATAGTCCTATATGTTACATAATGGTTATATAAAGAGAGCAATGCTTGGTTTTTACAGAAAGCCCATCAAACAAGGGGAAAAAAAGAAGTGAATTAATTAAGAGAAGAGGCCATGGTTATTGAGCATGCAAAAAGCATGGCCAATTCTCATCAGAAATAAGAGGAGATAAAAAGTCCATTCTCTACTTAAAAAAATTTAATTATGGGAGGGTTATTTTAGCTATGTTAATTTTATATATATTTAGTATTGTGAAAACCTATATTTAAACATTCACTTATCAATAAAACTAGTTTTTATTTGTTTATATCGTAAAGGAACTTGTAAGGTAAACTCAAAATAAACATAATATAACTTGAATTGAATTTGGTGTCAAAGAATTCATTTTGGCGGTAACGCTATATATAAAATATTTTATTAAATTTTACGTGACTAAATGTGACAGATATATGTTTGACATTGATGAGTATTCTAATATTTTTCAAATATAATTGGAAAATAGATAATTTAAAGAAAAGAAAGGTTCCATGTGCTAATATTAAGTGAAAATAAAAAATGACCTGCTTATATAACTAGTCTAGAATGACTTTAGTTATTAACAAATTGTTAGATGATCCGAATGAATTGCACAACGTTTTATTTATTGGTATTTTTTTGAGTTTTTCACTAAAAAAATATAGATAAAAATTTTTTTTATAATAGATATCAAATGTAAAAATAAATTTTAGCCAGAAATATAACTCTATAAATCGTTTAAAAATATTAACCTAAATAGAATAAATGCAAAAATATAATTAAATAAATTTGTTAATTGTTAATATTGATATAATAAATATTCAATTACTACTCTTATTTTTTAATCTGTTCTCACAATAATATTTTGATATTCTTAATAATCAATTTATACTTTTCTTATAGTTTATAGCATTTTTGAATTCTTATTTTTCGTTAAACTTATTGTTATTTTTGTAAAACTTGTTTTCTATTTTTATTTTGAAAAGTCTTCATGTTACGTAGCTATTCAAATATGTTATATAAAATATTATATATTCAACATTATTTTTATAGAATCATTGGTTTACGTCTTGGGTGTGATATCTTACAGCCTCATGCTTGCATCATATGCAAATCACCCGTCGATTCAAAGGGTAGGCATGGCCTTAATTGTATATTAAGTCAAAAACGACATCAACGCCACACAGCAGTAAACCATGTAATAAATAGAAGCCTAACAGCTGCCCACATTCCGAATAATCTTGAACCAACAAACTTATCTTAAGTAGATGGCTTAAGACCTGATACTATGACAACCATACCTTGGGCCCTTGGTAAATCACTTATATGAGATTACACATGTGGCTCATCATTCCTATCAAACATAAATCTCAATCTAATAATTCAGGCAGAAATAAAAAAACAAACAAATATAACAAATTAAAAAATTTTAAAAACTTCATATTTACTACAGTATTTACCTCTTCGAACGAGCATTTTTCTCCATCAACATTTATGTATTTTAAAAATCTGGGTAAGAAAATACGAATTCACAAATGAACCCAGAGAATTTCTTTTTATTAGACAAAAAATTAAAATAGAAATTTTTAGACAAAATTATGATTACTTTTTGAGGACTCAATTATAGGATTTTATTTCTAATTAGATAATTTTATTTAGAAATTTTATTTTTTTACTAGGTTTTATGTAAAAAGAAATTTAATAAAATATTTTAATTTTAAAGAAAAAAAACAAATTTTTTTAAAAAAAGTTACAAGAGTGAAAATATAATTTTAACCAAATAACAAAGCGTTTATAGTTTCAAATTTAGTGTGAATCAAGGGCGTTTTTCCATGTTCTCATATTTATAGAAACTTCTAGTATTCGAGCAAGAATTAAAATTGGGGATCTATTAATAAATATATATTCAAAATCACCATTAAGCTGATTATAATATATTTAAAAAAAACAAGATAAATTAATAATTTATTTTTTCTAATTTTTAATAAAACGTAAAAATTATTGTGTATTCGGATTCATCATTAAATTTGCATCTTAATGGTGTATATATCGTTCTTTATTTCTTTTATTATTTAATTCTAAGAAATTTAATGATTTAAACCCTCTCATATTTTCAGTTAACAATCAAATAACTAATTCACTTTCAGATTAGATAAAAGGTTACGCATAGTTTTGATATTTATTTATGATATATTTTGGTTTTGCATGAGTAAATTTTAGTTAACATCATAATTCCCATTTTAGTTTGACCAATCCTATTATAATTCTGTCATACTAATAATAATGTGGCGAAATTAAGATAATTTGAAAAATCCTGTTACATAATGAAAAATCTTTAAATTTCATAATAGACATAATTTCTTACATATTTTATTTTATATCTGATATTTTCCTGTTAAATTTTAAACTGAATTTTAGCATGGGCTTTACGGTATAATTAATAAATGTTCCATCATAGACAAATCAAATCATAGTATCTCAGAATTATTCAAAAACCATTCCATTATCCACCAATATATTTAAAATAATGGTTTTAATAATAATTGATATAAATATCTAAAAATTATGACATTGAACCATATAATCATATTCAAACATTTTAAAAGAATTTTAAACTTAAAAGTGTAAATATTAGTGATATGCAGAAGTTTTGTCGAATTGATAACAACATTCGTACCTTTGTATTTTCTAATTTATTTTATAGTGATTCTGATGAACAACTAGAGGAGATATTAAAAAAAATTTTGGGCAATTTTAGAAAATTAATACAGAGCCTTTTCCAACATTTTATTGGAAAAACTCACTCCATCACTCTGGAGTGATAGAGTGAATTGAGTAAGTTTTTAATAATCAAACTAGCATCCTAAATTTAAAAAAAATCAAAAAAGACTATATTATTGGGTTCCAATAACTAATCTCACTATCTTCAAGGTTATTCCTAAAAATCTGGAAATCAATAGATTTGCAGAAAATGAAGCATTAGCTCTTCCCTTTTAAATAAATGTCTTTGCTTAACTTTTTTTTTACTGGATATTATTCTCAACAGATTTTTATAATATTATACATTGATTCAGTTCTTAAGAAATATTCTTTATTTAACCCCAAAAGCTATCATCATTTGGGTGATAGTTTTTCAAAAACATCAGGGATTGCTATTTCTTGTAAAATCTAATTTTTAGCTACCTCATCGAGTTAGAGTTGGCAATATTCGTGTTGGGTGATTATTATGTTTTTTTTAGTTTTGTAGAAATTAAATGATTCCCTTTAATTCCTTTTAATAACTTTTAAGCCTGTTTATATATTTTATTCAATGAATTTATAGTTAATATGTATTTAGTTATTAAATTAAATCCATGTGCATCAAACCCGGTGCATTGAAAATTAGGCTTAATCATTTTTATTGATTTTTAAAAAATATTTTAAAAATTAGAAATCTAGGAAATATTTCCTTCCATTCAATACGTTTCCGAAGAATATTGTCTGGAATCTATAAATTGGTTGGAAATATGCTTATTGCCAGATGAAAAATTATTTTGATAAAAGATTTTTAAATATGAATATTTTTTGAAGGCAATTAAATGGCATAAAGAATCAACATTGAATTTGAGTCTATGATTCATTATAATAATATTTGACGAAATTGACTTTGAAATGATAATAGAATATTTTTTTACCTAAAATCAAAGACGAATTCCGCTTATTTAAAATTTTAATTTTTTGTATAGTTTGACTAATAAAAAATGAGATTAATTGCTTTCTTAGTTATAAACTTGATGTCTCTATATTGTTATGTTTATACATAGGCGTAGCCAAAAGCAGAGGGCAAGAGGAAATCCCCCCTTCACAAATTTATCACTTTTTGTAAATATCATTTTTAGCTAATAAAAAAATATCCCCCTTAGTCCTCCCCCCACTCCCTGACCCTCAAATATTTATGCATATATCTTAAATAATTTAAAAGAAATAATGTAAAAGTTGATATTTTTTTGTAAAACTATTCATCATAATTTATAGATTTTTGGGAAAATTTATAAATATGTAAAATGAACCAAAAATGTTTTTTAATAAATGGAATATAAGCCAAAAATAAGTCTTAAGACAGAAGTGAAATGTATTATAATTATTAATAATAGATCCATCATATTACTAAATAATATAGTATATCAAATATAATTTTTTATAAAGTGAATAACTTTAATTTATTTATCTTAATAAAAGTAAAATATAATTATAAAACTATTGATAAAATTAAGTCATAAATTAAAAAAAAATTAAAGCAAAATACAAACAGTGGAATATTATATGTCGTAGATTTACAGTATATCTAATTATCAAATGACAATCAAGTAATTTTTACCAATATAGCGAATTATATATTTTACAAAAAACTATAAAATATTTATAAGGACATCAGAAAATATCTTTAAAAGACATTGTGGGATGAATAATATGAAGATTAAATTAAAATATCAATTTTACTTAAAATAAATAGATGGCGTTAAATAATGAATGAAAATTGTTGCTATATTTAATATCAAGAGCATTGATTAGTAAAATTTGTTAAATTATTAACTGTAAAATTACTAACTGTCAAATATGTGTAAAAGTGGAATTTTACGTAGTATTTTATAACTAATTCTATATAATAGAGTAAAATCAACTATATGTCAACTTACTTTTTATAAATAAATTTTATAATTGTTTGGAATAAATTATTACCATGCTTTTAAATTAAGGTATATACAATACAATCCCCCCCCCCCCCTCTTTATGAAAATCCTGGCTACGCCTATGTGTTTATATATATATATATAGTTCTTTTCATATTGATATGATATCTTATAGATTTTTCTTATTTCTGCTAGATCAAATTATATGAATTAGAAATCCTTATGTCTAATAAACTCAAATTTCAAATTTTATATGTGGATTTTGAGAAATTCCGTAAATTCATGTACATCTTTCAATGTTTTTGGATCTTGTTTTAATATTGAACTTATTTAATTCCTTTGATAAAATAAAAGACCTTCTATTTAAAATTGGTTTATTAATCTATAAAAGAAATAAAATTATAATAATATTAAAAAAATTACTTTATTCCTTAATATATCACTGACATATTTCCCCAATACATCATTTTCATATTATTTTTTATAAAGGAAAATATTTATTAGTGTTAGATAACTTTTGATAAATGTGAATAATTGAATTACTTTATGATCGATGAATGAAAATTGAATAAAAATGTTCTCGCCTCAAACCTATACAATACAAATACCTGGAGTCTAAATAGAGAAGTTTTTTTTAAAAGAAAGCAAATTATGAAATAGGTTTTATATAAAATAGAATATCTATCTCCACTGTAGTGCTCTTGTTGAGCAGTTTAAATGCTGCTAAAAAAATTTTTATAAAAGCGTGCCTGTAAGTCAGATTCAAATTGCAATTGGCTACTTTTTTAAAAAGACTATACATTTTCCTATAATAGATTTTAAAAAAATATGACCTGTCGTATACCTATACTATAAAAGGCAAACCCCTTTTTTCTTAATATGTAAGAGCACGCCCCTTTTAATAACACACTAGCACAAGGGAAAATAAGCTTTTTATTTAAGGAGCGTTAATATAGATGCTCAAAAAGGAAATAATATAATTTTTAATATATAAAATTACGAAGAAGTGACAGTATAATTAATGTTTTTATGTTTTAGATTTTTGAACAAACTATTTTCTATTTTTTTTCTATTAGCTTAAATTAATATTTTCTCACAAGGCTAGTTCGCCACTGGATTCTCATTTAAACACGATGCCGCCAAGCACAAGGCGTCTGGTCCTTGTCGTTTTTGAAGGAAGGTTTCTAAATTTTGTCACAAATACGCCACCATCTAAGCAGATAAAATTTTTTAAAATCATTATGCTATAAATATAATTATGGTAAACATATATTAGATGAAGAAAAAACAATTAAATATAAACTATATAATTTTCTTTTGGGATATTGTAGCTTTTGAAATACAAAATATTCACAAATAATGGTAAAAATTTCCATTTGGAGGCGAATCATAGCAGTTCATCGATGCCATGCTATGTTTCTGTAACTTAATTTACATTAACATCATAAAAATTAAATATAATACTTCACGCTTGAATCAAATAAAGTATAACAAATATTTTACTAGCAATTGAAATACGATATAAATATGTAAGTATTAGTTTAGTACATAATTACACTACTTATATAATTAAATGAGGATATTAAAAGAATGCAACCTCGCCTAATTATCAACATTCTTTTTACGTTTGCCACTAAATCGTAAAATGGCGACCAGTGAAATATTTTTCGATAATGATGAGACATCTGCAAAAATTGAAAATAACAATAATAATACCCAACCAGAAAATGAATTTTGGGAACGGACGCAAAATGAGTTAGATCAGCTTGAAAAAGACTTTCCTGATAATCCTGCCTTAAATGATTTGTCATCAAATCTTCCTAACGGTAGTTTAGAAATATATCTTATTTCACATTTTGGCAGATTATATATTTAGAATAATTTAATGATAAGTTATGTATACTAAATAAATGTTTTTTTTTAATTTAATGACAATTCAACTTATAAGATTTTATTATCTTTTGACAATACATTTATATATGTTTAAAATTAAAGTAAAATTATTTTTATACAGTTATTAGATTGTGAAATTAGCATATTAAATAAAGCTTTATTCAAACTTATATTTATAATACTCACCTTATATCATTTCTAAGATATTTTATAAAAAATTACTAACCACAAATTTCAAGTATTGAGCCAAATTATCTGATTTTTAGTCACTGCTCAACTTTGTTTAATACAATAGAAATTATCCCTAGAAATCTATAATTTATTTATTTTAGATTAAAATTTATTTATGATTCTGTATTTATACTATATGAATAATAATTTTTTTAAAAAATATTTAATTGCACATTATATAGAATAAATAGAAGTAAAATCAGTGTTGTCTTTAAAACATGACCTTTATTTACTTCCCTTTATAACAATTTACAGCTAAATTATTAAAAATAAAAAAAAATCAAAGCCTATGCCAGACCATAAAGTGATCAAAATTTTTAAATCTGCCAAGATTAAAATTTAAAAAAATATTCAGAATTTATTTTATGTCATTTTTAATATCTGGTAGGCACATCTTAGACCTATGTACTTCTGGCAATTTTATTCACATTGGACCGGAGCCACTGATTGAGGTGAGTGGCATGACCAGTATTAACATTAATATAAAATATGAATTGTATTATATTGGCATATAAAAAAATAGTATACATTCATTAATATTCATGCATCATATTTCAATATTACACAAACATAAATACAATTAATTTTTTTAATGGACTTGCACATTTTAAACCACCTTAGTTTGATTATTGCCAGCACTATTTGATGTTTTTTGAGTATCTTTTCAATGTATAAACTTAATATATAACTGATTTATTAAATTAATATATAAAACTTTATTTTGAAGGTTCAAAAATTTTTCAGATGTTTTTTTAAAGATCTTTCTAATGTATAAAATAAATATAAAATCTAATTGGGCAAAATTATGTTATGATGTGGTGTTTAGATTTAATGTCATTTAATTCTATAAACAAAGGAATAACTGATTTTGTAAAGGTTTGAAATTTTGTATAAATTGTCTAAAAAAATAGAAATATGATATTTGATTCCTCATCAGAATTGCCTGATAAGGCAACCATTAGTTAGGTGCACTAGATGATGTGTTTATTAATCTATAAAGGTGCAAGTTTTAAATCTGATTCTGAAAATTCTTATATCATTTTTGATTTATGAACAGGTCATTTCAAGCATTGTAATTTTTAGATGAAAATCTGGCAACTAGAAATGGACACAAAATCAATTATCTGAGATTGATAGTATAGGATAGGAATTCCATTTAAAACAAATTCAGATGGTCAATAATGCTGGGGCTCACTTAAAAAAGCATCAGATTGGTGTATTATGCTTATGCTTAGGGCATGGACTTCATAAGTTAATTATAGTTAATGGCATAAAAAAAGTTGCTAGAATTAATGTTCTTAAAAGAAATTAGAGAAATCATTTTAGCCCTCAGATATTGAGTAGCTGATTTGGAATGTGAGATTGAGGATGGGCATCGTAAATGAGCCATATTTTGGATATTGATGATTCTGATCCATACCTGGATGAACATTTTGATATCTCTGATGAGGCTAGTAATATAAATTGCATGGCACCCAACAGATCTAATTGATACAAAAGCTCTTAAGTTAAATTGCCCTACCTGCTGGCATCCATAGTGTTCAAAATTCCTATGAATAAAGTTCTAAAGAAAACAATCCCTTAAACTTTTTTAATAATGAATGAATATAATTGACAAACTTTACGCATCATTAAATCCATTCAGAAAGTTGTTGGAATTTCTTTCCTCACAAATGGAATCAGCAATAAATTTAGGACTACTAATTCACAGTGGAATAGAAACACACATACAAATCAATATATTCAAATGCTAAAAGGAAATATGCAAAAATAGCTTGACCATAGGTTTTCAAGTACCAAACTTCAAGTAAGTAATTTATTTTATATTCTATTTTTATTAATAAAATCATATTTTAAACATTAGATATATTAGCGACACTACTTGATCCGAGATTTCAAAATCTTAAAATTGTTTCAGAATATGTTAATTCGAAAATTCTACTAAATCATTGCAATAGCATCTAGAGCATGATAGAATTGTGCAGAGTGAGATTCAAGTTGAAGGTAATGGATTATCATCCAGTTCATATATAACTTAAAAAGCTCGTTAACATTCCTCTAAGCAACGACCATAATAACATTAGCAATATAGAGCAAGAATGACATATTTTGCTCAACCAACATAGTTTATCTAGACCTGTGTGCTGATTGTATTACATTTTTTTATAATTGGGTGTTTTTTCCTAACACATTGTTAATATAGCTTAATTCATTTCTTGAGTTAATTCCAGTCTCACTCCAATTTAAATTGATGTATTTTCTCATTCTCAGAAATAGGCTAAGGAATTGCATTTTTATTCAGATCACAGTCACATAAACAGCAAATATATTAGTTATATTCTATAGATTTTTATTATAACAAATTGGAATAATTTGGAATGCAAGCAAAATATAAAGTGTAACATATAATGAATCAGAATTCAGATTCAGCAAAATTATAATTGCCTTGAATAAATAGTATTTTGCTAAGATTTGTGGGACATAAAGAAGCCCTTTTTGCACTAAGTATGAATATAGCAATGGAAAAAATTCTTTCACGTGTGCTGGTTGCAGGTATACAAAGAACCTTTCTAGCTAAAATAGAACCTGAGGAAGTTCCAGTCGCCTTTTCTTCCAAAAGATTAATGCATCCTCTTCTGTGGTATTATGTTGACTGGAGCAAAATATGACATTCTTGTTCTAGATTACTAATGTTGTTATAATCGTTGCTTAGAATGGAATGTTTACGAGCTATTTTAATATAAGATCTGGATGTTTGCCCATTATCTTCAACTTGAATCTCACTCTCTGCATTTCTATCATGCTCTAAAAGTTTTGAATGTCTAATTAAAAATTGCAATGATGTCGTAGAATTCTAATTTAAATATTCTGAAACAATTTTAAGATTTTGAAATCTGGGATCAAGTAGAGTCGCTAATATCTAATGTTTAAAATATAATTTTATCAACAAAAACATAAAATAACTTGAATTTCAGAATTGGGAAACCTATGGTCAAGCTTTTTCTTCATATTTTCTTTTAAGCATATAATATCTTAGCAATAAGATTTATTGATTTGTATATGAGCTTCCATTTCACTGCAAAATAATAACCCTAAGTTTATTGTTGATCCTTTTTGGGAGGAAAGAAATTCCACTGACTCTCGGGATGGATTTAATACTGCGTAAAGCTCACCAATCATATCCCATTCATTATTAAAGAGTCTTAAAGATTGTTTTCCTATTTTATTTATACTTTCCAACATAAATTAATGTGCTGTGCCAGCGGGTAGGGCAATTTAATTTTTTAAAGTTTTTTGTATTAATTAGATTGGTTGGTGCAATGCTAATTTCCATTATCCGCCTCAGCAGACATATCAAAAATGGACATCACTTTCCAAAGTACCTCCAGGCATAACTCGATTTATGATTAAGTAGAGAGAGAGAGAGTTGTTGTTTCATAATTGTATATTAGGGTGGTTTAAAAGTTGCAAGTCCATAAAAATAATTAATATGTGTTGTTCGTGAAAATGAAATATGATGTGGGAATGGATGTGAATGATATAAACTATTCTTATTATATATAACAATTAGAATACAATTCATATTTTAATTTTATTAATGTTAATAATTCAAATTTAAATATAATAATAATTTAAAATATAAATATAATTATACATGGCGCACCGCTGCCATGCGCCGATGATCTCAAGTGGCGGCTGTTCTGGCGTGAATAAAATTGCCGGCGGCGCACTGGTCTAATTATTCCAGAAGAGGATGTTCTAACATTTTGGGGAAAAAAGCAAATGGAACTTCCTAGGCTTGCTAATTTAGCTAGGAAGGTTCCTTTTTATGCCTGCAACCAGTACATACATCCTTTCTATCGCTGGATTAATACTCAATGGAAAAGGGCTTCTTTATGTCCCACGAATCTTGATAAAATACTGTTTAATCAGGACAATTTATAATTTTTCTAAATCTGATTTGTATCCGAATTTGTTTCATTAAAAAATCAACGGATTATTACCGAAATGCTTCGTTATACTCGACCCTGATCTGAGTGTAAATGGCAATTCCTTAAATCACCTATTCCTGATAATGAGAAAATACATGAAATTTAAATAGGAATGAGGAACGGAAAATAAAGTGTCAGATAGAATCAAGAGTGCCCAAATAAATTAATATTCAGTGTAAATACATTCATATTTTTTTTTCTTCAAATAAATATCACGCCTCGACCTCCGCTAATTTATTAGGCAGGGGCGAAATCGGCGGACCGCCACCATCAATTAGGGCTTCGGCTCGCAGGTCTATCGTAATTCAATATTCTTTTGAATGATTGGCATAATTTATTACGGAATTATGCCAATCAAATGATCATATGATTAGAATATTTTAGGGACGTATTATAAGGATATTCATTTTTTCAATCAAGATAATTTGGCCATCTTACTTATTAAATTTTTTTAATTTCGATATCAGCTGACGACAGGAAATTAATTCCTTATTTAAACTATATTCTATAGGTGCCTCATCAACCGACCCATTTGATGAAGATGACCTATTTCCCACCGATAATTCTGAAAACAACGTAAGATTCTTTTTAATATGATTTATTAACTGTATTAGAGGTTGGTACGGGGTCATCCTGGTCCATTATAATCTTTGCCCGATCCAGCCCGTATAAAATATACTTTGTACAATACAACTTACTGGGCCTGGATCCATAATAGTTTTTAAAAACGACATATAAATTTTGGCTAATTATCAGCTTTTAAAAACAATTTTTGCCGCCCTACACAGAAGGCCAGGCTGCGCACACTCGGGATCCATTTTAGAACTCGGAATGGTCTAGTTCCGGGTTGAACATATTTCACTTAGGTTTTCGACACGATTCTATATATGAAATATAATTTAGTTCCATCACCTTTTTTCCCGAACCGGTTCTGGAATTTTGAAATGGGCCCTGGGTCTTATTTTAAGAGAGAGAGAGAGAGAGAGTTGCACCGATTCTTGGGTTTGTCCCTTCTCCGGTACTGAGCCCGGATATTTTCTTCAATTCGCCATTTTCCAGAAGACTCCCCTTCCCAATTTTAAAACGGCATAAAGCAAGGTTCGGAACGAGAACCCGGGATCCTCAATAATCGGGTCGTCGTATCTAAGGGAACGTCTTACTAAATTTTACTGGAACCTCTAAATCCTTTCTGAAATTTCTTTGAACTTCCACCAGTCGAAAATGGCAAACCTAGTTTTTAAGCTAAAACTATAAGGTCAAAAAACTTAAGTCATTACCTCGATACCTTAGCGCAATTTTTTTTTTTGGCGCCACAAATATAAAAAAGATTAGTATGTTTACGGAATACGATATCGGATCGATAAATCGGCCGATATCAATTTTGTATCGGGTATATCGGTTATCGGATATTAGTTTGTATATATAATTTTACTAAAATCACGAGGGGGGGGGGCTCGCTAATTGTTTTAAAATATATTTGACGTGGAATAACACCCCGCCACAAATGCCACCGGATATGATTTTGATTTCCAATTTCATTTTCTCCCGGAAGTTATATTTGGATTATTTTTTTAAAAAAATTTAGCAAATTTTTTTTTATAAGAAAATTTAATTTTAAAGCTTTCTAAAATTTATGTAAATTTTGAAAGTTATATTTTCATTGAGGAAATTTTTTTTTTATTATGATTTTTACATTTTATAATTTAAATTTTTAATTAAAACAAAATAATTTTTAGTTTTTAATTATTTTACTTTATTATTTTTTTTCAAAATTATAAAAGTTAACCATTCTTCTTCTCTCATTTCCGGAAGATTATACTTGGGAAAACTATTATCTCTTCCTGCGGAAAAACTTAAAGCATAATTGAATTTTATCATATTATATATGGAGTCGGGAGGTGGGGGAGAGGGGTGAGTCTAGTGTTGCCGATCAAAATTTCTGGCCAAAAGAATATTATGTAGGCCTGGAGATTTCGCCCATGGGTGGTGGAATGGATTTAACCCCCGGGAAATAATTGTTTTGTCTCGAATCGTGATTGGGCCGTTTTTAAAACTAGATTCAAATCGGTCAGTTCAACAAAAGGCGGATTGGACAAGTTATAATTTGATTAAAAATTTTCGCGGTCTTTTAAAAGTGGGGATAGATGCGAAAATTACCCCAAAAAAATATAATATTTGGCGGTATTATCACCTTAGCTTCGGAGCTCATCTTTGATAAAGAATTTAAATACTCGTGTCTCGATGCTTGCCTCACCCAGATTTGCTTCTGCAAGGGACCTGTTGATGGCGTCTATCTTTAGCTAGTTTCTTAGAATCTCACCCGAGATGGATTAAATCATCTTTTGAAATTATACGCTTCTACCCTTGATTCCATAAAATTTTTTACTTTAAACAAATAAGTATTTTAAAAAAAATTCGCTTTAGGTGTGATATAGAGCCTTAAATTGACTAGTAAAATTTGTTAAATAATTGCCTGATCATCGAGATAATAAGGGAAGCAATTTACCAATTTAATAATAGTTTTGAACCATGAGAATAATTACTATACGGATTACCAAAATGGCGCCTCCAGCTGATTTGCATTCAACGACGCTTTCCAGGTGCATTATTATGAACGCATCGTCATGACTAGTAAAATTTATTAAACATTTGCCTGATCATCGAGATAATAAGGGAAGCAATTTATAAATTTAATAATAGTTTTGAACCATGAGAATAATTACTATGTGGATTACCAAAATGGCGCCTCCAGCTGATTTGCATTCACCGACGCTTTTCAAATGCCTTAAATGTACATATTTTTTTTAAATAAGGCTTTTGGCCCCGACCGAATCATTCCTCAATGTATTACAAATATCCTATTCATTATTTATTCATACATTCATTCTCTTCGCGAACTTACCCCCGAGCCAAATATCATTTTCTCTACAAGATATATAAAAATAAAATAAATATTTTCCTCTTATTTTTTATCGAGGATCGATTTATTATTTATTTTAAAGACAATTTTTTTTTTTATAATAAAATAAATTTAATAGCGTAAATATTACGATTATAAAAAAAAGACAATATTTTAAGGATTTAATTTATATCCTCTCGGTTCATAAAAAAAAAATTCAAAAAAAAATCGATGTTTTTTTAAAAATTTGTTTTGAAAGTATATTATTATATATATTCCTTAAAGGAGTTGGGGGAAAAGTATCGTGATACATGTATCTTATTATTCGGGACGAGGTTGGATGCTTATCGGTTTGATAAATTTTTTTGTTCCTGGAGGAATAGAAGACTTGCTGTATTTTATTAACTCGTTTATTTTTCCAGGAGAAAAAAAGATTTTTGTAGACCACCTTAAGTTACGATACGATTTTCCGACTCAGGAAATGGAACGTTATATAAGCAGCTATCAGTGTCGGTTAGAATTTTCCTGTTTTTCTGCAGATCGGGAGATAGGAAGGAGTTAAATAATATATCGCAGATTTGGAATAAGGGTGGCGACAATGATAGCTAAAAAAATGAATGTGAAGGCAACATGGCGACATTTTCTCTTTACCCCTTAAAATATTTTGTAATCCCTTACCACCATGATGTATAACGGTTCAATTCAATTTCCGGTTTATAGTTTAAAATTTTTGCAGCGGGGTTAAGCCCCCCTTCCTTTATTTTTTTTGGGCATCGTTTCGGTTTTATAGAGGTTATTTTGGTTTTTAAAAAAAAATCTATAATTATGATTTTTTTAATTGACCTTTCTTTCTTTTTTTCTTTCTTTCTTTCTTTCTTTCTTTCTTTCTTTCTTTCTTTCTTTCTTTCTTTCTTTCTTTCTTTCTTTCTTTCTTTCTTCTTAAAAAGTTTATAGTTTAATGGAAGTTTAATTTTTCTTTATTTTATTATATATATTTAAAAAAAATGATTATGAAATAACAAGATTAAAGTAAAATGACATAACTTCATACAAATCATCTGTAAAATTTGTTTACCCTTTTTTTTCAATAAATGGATCATCTGTTTCGGTTCAAATATTTTTAGCGTAATGATGGTCAAGAAACGAGACCGAACCTACCCGAAGACCGATATTAAAATAAAAGTCCGGACCTTTATCCAATAAAGACACGCGAAATCTCCCTTGTGACCTGGGATCAATCAAAAAACTCTAATAATTGGAGATAATAAATGGAAACTTTATGCAGTTACGGGTTACGCTTTGGGTCAATACGAAACATTTTATGGGTATTTTAAAGATCATTGTTAGTTACTATTAAGCAGAGTTGTTAAAAGATACTTTTTAAATGGATCTAGATACAGATACATTGTCTAAAACAATATCTAGATACAGATATTTTAATCAAAAATCTATCTAGTTACAGATACAGATACCACATTTTTATATCTAGATACAGGATCTAGATACTTGTATCTAGATCCTTTAACAACTTTGCTATTAAAGATAGCGTTGAACCAATCGATATAATAGCGCGAACAAATTGAACGTTTCAATTTCAACGCAGCGTTTCAAAACGCAAATAAAAAAAACGCAAAACGCAGCTACGATTTAAATCGAAGCGTTAATTTTAATTTTTTTTTTCCAATATGAAACGTCTAAATTCAAAACAAAAACAAAAATGGTTGATCTTATATTTACTTGAGAGAAATAAAGTGAACATCTTCAAACATATGTTTTAAAAAAGGGATTTTTTTTTCTGAATATATATTAATATAAAGGGGGGATTTGACAAATTCTGAAGATCAACCTTTTCATATGTTCTTGGGGTAACATATGATATAAATCCCAAAATTACTAATTTCGTAACAGGTTTTACTTGATGCCGAAGACAGATTGTTCGTTACCTCCGTTAGGAATTATTTAAATGTATTTAATTACTGGTGTATCCTTTGCACGATTGGCATATTGTTCAAGGATTTCAAAGTCCTGTATAGCCTACCATTGCCAAATGACAGTGTGCGCAGCAATTTGGAATCCGGCTGTACATATAACAATGGGAAATTATGTATATATATTAATAGCCATCCCAATAGTGTCTCAATTTTATAACTATAAACAGATTTTCAATAACCAGTCAGCCTTAACAGACATCAACAAAAAATTTATTTTTTATAGATGTGGGTGCATATGGAAAGCAGAGTGATGGTGAAGTACTTAGAAATAGATTAATTTTAGTATATTCTAAAAAAATATAAATAATTAGAATAGGTGAACCCTACACTTGATCTACCTGCTTCCAAGCCTTTTCCAGGGTTTATTGAAGCCATGTCATTTGTAATGGTTGCGGATGACATATTCCCTTTATCAAAACATCTGACGAAGCGCTACCATCACTCAACTTATATTAAATGTGAAAATAGACATTAATACAAATATACAAAAATTTTATTAATTGTTAAAGAATATATCTTTTACACAAATATCACATGTAATTATAATCAGAACAATATCACATTTAAAATACTAAACACATCATATAATGCAGATTCATTAGCAGGTGTTGGTAAAATACAATTTGCCTTCAGGTGATAGTCTAGAAATTTTAAAACCTCAGTTTTAAACAATAGTTGGTTGTCTAAATTTAAGTTTTCCACCTCCTTTACAAGGTTTTCCATAAAAAGTCTATACAAAATATTAATAAATTATAGATAAAAATTAGCCTTACTGCATCCCAGATGGCTTTTCTTCCAAAACATTTAATAACCTATTAAATTCATTTAGTTTAGGTTTTTTTTCCTTTTTAGGTGAGATACATCAAAGTTGCTTGATGTAGGGCGATCTTCTATAATCCTTTGCATAGAATTTAGATATTTCTGCTGTTTATATTCATTGATTCCTCTTGATGAGCCTGAAGGTTTCCCTAATTTTTCCTTATTCAATCTGTCCTTGAAATTCCTCAATCTCTTCTTGAGATAAAGAGGACTGGTATCATAACCAGGAACTTCCTTAGTTAAGCTAATTAATTGATTATATTCTTATATATTTATACATGGAATTAGACAAACCGGATGTTGTTGATTCCAAAAAAATCTCATCAGATTCCAGCATTTCTGCACAAACCTTTTAATTATTTCATGTATATCATTGATGTTTTTGTAATTTAAATGTGATATTCTTTTTATATGTATAAAATATATTACAACTAGTAAAATTTTTATCACATTTAATGTAAGTTAACTGATGGTAGGGCTTCATCATCAGATAATTTGATAAAGGGAATGCGTCACCCCTGACCATTACAAATGGCATGCAGGCAAATAAAGTCTATGGTTCACCAATTCTATTATTTATATTTTTAGAATATATTAGGATTAATATAATACAACCTCTATATAAAGAGCTATTTCTAAATACTACACCGTCACTCTGCTTTCCATATGCTCCCACACCTATAAAAAAAAAAAAATTTTCTGTTGATGTCTGTTAAGGCTAAACAGGTTAATTGAAAATCTATGTTTATAGTTATAAAATTGTGAACCACTATTGGGAGGAAAGGAGATATCTTTCACATCTATTGCCCCAAAACAATTTTGGGAATCCTGATTGAAGCAGGAATTCCTGGGAAATCCAAAGATTTAATAAATTTACTCTTTCCCAATCATTTTTATTAGGCCTAGGCATATGTATATGTTCAGCAGCATTCCAAATTGATTGGGAGGAAAGGAGATATCTTTCACATCTATTGCCCCAAAACAATTTGGGAATCCTGATTGAAGCAGGAATTCCTGGGAAATCCAAAGATTTAATAAATTTACTCTTTCCCAATCATTTTTATTAGGCCTAGGCATATGTATATGTTCAGCAGCATTCCAAATTGATTGGGAGGAAAGGAGATATCTTTCACATCTATTGCCCCAAAACAATTTGGGAATCCTGATTGAAGCAGGAATTCCTGGGAAATCCAAAGATTTAATAAATTTACTCTTTCCCAATCATTTTTATTAGGCCTAGGCATATGTATATGTTCAGCAGCATTCCAAATTGCTGCGCACGCTGATTTCACAATGGCAGGCTATACAGAATTTTGAAAACCCGGAACTATATGACAATTGTGCAAATGATACACCGCTAATTAGTTTAGACGCTTCGATTTAAACGCGTCGTGTTTGCGTTTTTTTATTCGCGTTTTGAAACGTTCAATTTGTGCGCACTGTGATTTCGGATCAAAGCGATTACGTTCAGGCGACTATGGGCCCGTTTTTGCCTCCCTCGTTCGTAACGCGATCATATGGTTTTTACGTATAAAGATAGAAAATGTTCAGCCATTTTTTTAAAAGTTTTTTACCTACGCCGATTTTACACATTTTTTTTTTTAAATTTTAATTTTGAACTAATTTGATCCTTCTCTTAACAAATCTTTATAACTCCCCTAAAAAAGTGTGAGGACACCATTTTTTTTTTAAAATTAATATGACATCCCTAGTAATCTTTCAATTTTTTTTCTTCTCTCTATTATGATTATTATTATTTCGTAAAGTAAGGACAAAAAAAAATGACGATCTAAAATTAGCGATTGGCATCTGTTTGTCCTGCCCTATTTTGAACCAATTTTTTATTTTTTATTTGTCCCCCAAAAATCCGACCCGAATTAAAAAAAACTTTTTTGAACTACCCGACCCGAATTTATTCAAATTCGGAAAAATTCAAATAAAAAAAAATATGCTGGGACTCTTGCAAGAATTTTAAAATTTAGTGATAATATATTTAAAAAAATTTAACCCCGTTCCCACCCCCAGGTCCAGAATTTTTTTTTAAATGTTAGGGACTTAGGCCGCATTCATAGTACATCCGATCCGACACGGTTTAACAGCTGATCGATTTTTAAAATCCGTTTATGAGATCAATTTTTTTTGTAATAATATTAATTTTGTCTTTAATTCTATACATGATGATAACCTAAGAAATAATGGTTTTAATAAAAAAAAATTGATTCTCATAAACCGATTTTAAAAGTCGATCAGCTGTAAAATAGTGTCGGATCGGATCGGATCCACTATGGATGCGGCCTTAGCCCGAGACCGAAATTATTTTTCGCAAAATAGGCCCGGTCTGTTGGAAGGGTACGGGGTGGGCCGCGTTTTGCAGATCGTAACGGGGCTGCTTGAAATTAATATTTTGGATCGGTGCTTAAAAAAATTTTTTTTTTTAAAAGATGCATGTCATGAATTTTAGCAATTTTTTATTTTGAGAATTATGAGCGCCATGTTGCCACGGTATAAACCTATTTGTTGGATTTTGTAATCTTTCATTGCGAAGAATGGGAAGCGATTTCTTCCTGCTAGAATATACGTCATGTTAGTCACTTTTGTTGAGATCGTATCCCTTTATTCCTAAATCCTCTTACAAAAAAAAATATATATAGGCTCATCTTACCAATGGCAACAACCTTATCGAACCAAATAACGCCGAATTCGACTTTAACGACGATAATAATCTCGGTGAATCTCATTCTACCCAGGGTAAACCCGACCCTTACAAAAAGAGGGGAGATTTTAGCGCCATCTCCAAAGAGGACAAAATATACAAGGAGCCCGAAAAAATAAAAATATGGCGGGAAAAACAGCAAGAAATCCTCAAAGAAAAAGGTATACATATATAGCGTTTAATGTTTAATTTCTTTCTTTCCTTCCTTCCTTCCTTCCTTCCTTCCTTCCTTCCTTCTTCCTTCCTTCCTTCCTTCCTTCCTTCCTTCCTTCCTTCCTTCCTTCCTTCCTTCCTTCCTTTAAATGTTTAATACAAATTTCGTTCGCATTTTATACCTTTCTCAATTTCTCCAAAATTTTTTTTTTTTTAAAATTCATCTATGTTATTATTTTAAAATTATTTTTATTAAATAATATTAATTTTTCAGAATTAAAAAAATGAAAATTCCTTTCTTTAATTTTTGAGGATTTCTTTTTTTTTATAAAATTCGTGACTTATTTTATTTATTTTAAATCTTTTTTTTTTATAATCCCATGCTTCCAGCTAGAAGATGAAAAATTATATTATAAACAAATATTTTTCATCCGACGTTTTTGTTAAAGATCGGATCGTTTATCAGTTATCAGCCGATAATAACTCACTATCCGGTACAGATATTTCGATATCGGATAGAGTTATAAAGAAGTCTTAATCATAGTACATATCCCTAACTTAATTTTTGTTTTTCCTGTTAAATAATGCAGATCAAGAAGAAGAAATCAAGAAGAAAGAGATGAGGGAACACGCTAAGAAGGAATTGGAAGAATGGCAATCCATGTATAAACAACAAGTGTCCAAAGCCAAAGAGAATAATCGGTAACTTTACATCATTCATTTGTCTCTTTTTTTCCATGGCGACAGTATTGTCCGAAATTCTAAGTGAAATGGACTTATTCTATATGCTGACCGAAACGTAACCGTAACTCACAATTTAGCGGTCCCATAAAGGGGCTTCAATTTCGATACATGAATTTAATAAAAAATAAATACAATAATATACTAGGATTCAAGAGAAGGAATTTCAACAAAGCCACAACCGGGAAAACATAAAATCAAACATTACCAGAGAAAGTAACGGCACGTTATCAAATATTTTTAATGTATCTTTTATTACGAAATTATTTACCATAAAATAAATAAATAATTGATTTAGAAAACGAAAAAACAGCTGACATGATCAACAAGGACAAAAAGGAATGGGAAAAGGTGGCGTCTCTTTGCGATTTTAATCCTAAAAACAGTAAACACGTTAAGGACGTCACTCGATTACGGTCGGTCATAGTCAAGCTTAAATCTTCCCAAGCATCGTCTCCCCGTCAACATGGTTAATAATATTTTTTTGTTTACCAACAAAAACAAAATTAAATAATAATATTACACGAATGAGGGGGAAAAATGACATCTATATTAGGCTCAAAAAATATATTTAATTGTTTTTAACTCGAATTTATAAAGAATTTTGTAAATCATTATCAAATTGTTAGAACACTCCTAGAAGCATTTATATTTCGTCGACTGAGTATTGTAAAGTTCTATATCCATTTTTGTGAAATTTCTAAATCAAATTAGGGTAATCCTAGTTTAAAATCTGTTTAGCCTGGACTAAAACAGAAATAAGTTTTAAAAAGTAAAATAAGACCATTCAGGATTATGGACTATTACTTTAAAATCGAAAAATTATTTTGTTTTATCGTAAACTTAATTAGCGTTGGGTTTATATATAAATGACAACATTTATAATATATTTTTTTGTTTGTTTGTTCAAAAAAATATATAAATTTACAAGGCGCAAAAAATACATCCTTGCCCAATGGCCCTCACAATACGAACGGAGATTTACACGGTGATCATGCCGACTCTGAAGACGAAAAATCGAATTAGCCCGACACCCTAACACATTTCCAAACCTATCATAACATACATTACATACACATATATAATATATAATTAAAATTAAAATCACCTTTTAACCCCCCTCCCAATCTCGCTTTACACCCCTTCTCTCCCTCAAGAATATATTTTTCTTTTACCTTCTAGTATATCAGGCGGGTATTTTAATTTTAACTCCTTTTTCTGGAAAAAAGAAAGAATTCGAACAATATTTCGCGCCATAAAGGGGGCGTTATTTTTTGATTTTGAATAGCTAAATTTTTTTATTTGTTGTTGTACATAAAATTATATTATTTTGAAAATAAAAATCACTTGACCAACCCAAACCAACATCTTTTTTTTTTGTAACTGATTTAAAAAATTTAATATTTAAAGATTGGATGTTTTTCTTATATTTATTTTAAGTATATCATCTTCCCTATTAAATGTAATTTTGATAATATAAAAAAAAATTTTTTTTCAATTATTACTATATATTTTATTGCTTAACCAATTAATATTCCTCCTGTTATTTTCCCTTTTCTATCATTAGATTAACTCTGTTTGATATGTCTTTAATATAAAAAAACGACGTATTTATATAATACCTTAATTCTTGTACGTTCTTTACCTTCGTAAACATCATACTTTAAGTAACTTTTCTCTCCCCTACCCTCCTCCTATCCCCCTTTTATGATACGCTTTCCAATACCTTAATTCCCAATAATTACTATATTGGCACATTATAAAAAAAATAACAATATTACATACATTTAGATCATAATTACTTTTTTTTTCTTTACGCGAATACATCATTTTTTTTATTGTATTTCTATGTGCATTTTTTTTATTTAAAAAAATATTAATATCTTATAAAATTTAATTTAAAAAAAAATATATATTAAATTATCACAGATTTTCTTTAATCTCCTAAGTTTTAGAAGATTAATTGTAGGTCGGATTCAATTGATTAAGATGTTGGGCGATTCAAACTCATCTTTAAGAATAAAATCCTCCCCTACCCCCCCATCCTTAGATCGTTGTTGTTATGTTGGTCAGTCTCTAGTATTTGTTAGATGTTAATTGAATCAGTTGGAACCGGGGATGTATAGAGAACCATAAATATTATAAAACTCTTAATATAATATACTATTTTAATTAAACATCTGGAAATGAAATTCTTGGAACACAAAAATTTTATTCCCACGGGATAAAAACATGAGAGTCAAAATTTTACTCAAAAATTCTTTATATTAATTAAAATGTTAATTTATAAAATTCAAATTTCTCTTTGATTAAAAATAATTTCTAATATTAATTCACCCTATGTCTTAATTTTAATATAATTTATTTTGACATTTGAAAAAAAAATGATTATACATATATGATATTGTATTATTTTATAAAAAAAAATTAAAAAATGCCGATTTTATTTTTATGGCCATTTCTGGTTTTCTATTTCCGATTTTTGGTATCGTAAATTTTTACCATATTACAATTTATGTAACATTAAAAGGTATATAGAAATATACAATAAAGGTTGATTCATGCATCCAAATATTTAGGAAACATAAACTATAAATCAATCATTAAATATTAGATTTATAATTATCTGATTTATATAAATAAAAGATAGACTAATTTTTATCATTTATATGAGCCAAAATAGTTTTTATGCAATATTAAAATTTAATAAAATTTTATCCGTTAGATGGCGTTAGTTTCTCAAAAAATTAAAAATATTGTTTGAAAACAAGCGGTTTTTAATTTGGTTGCGTATATCATAGGGTTACAGGAATTCAGCTTAGTCCTGCATTTCACCGGGGTTTAATGAATTGACCATTGTTGATAAAAAGGGTTTAATAAAATTTGTTGAAATGCTGTAAATTAATTTACTTGGTTGTGTTTTCCCGTTAAATGAAATTTGATTAAGGATAATAAATCAACGTCGTAATAACTGTAAACCATTAAGAATTGTCTTATTATTTGTTAACGAGCTATGATTATACGGAAAAGAAGAAAAGTCATGGAATTAAGTTAAGCAATTAAAATGAATCAAAGTCTATCTAAAATTTATTCGAAAAGTCTTAGATTTATTACAAAAAAATTTAATCAAATTATGATCAAGGATATTGAGTGGCCAAGTTGCCCTGGGTAAAAAAAGCATTTGTTGATGCTAATACTGACATTTTTGCATTACTGTCTCTATATTTAGGCCACTGCTATTACCACGATCGGGCAGGGGGTTATGAGTCAATATCGTTGTTTGAATAAAATAGAAGTTTAAGGGGCTGGTGGAAGTGTTCTTTCTTCTCCATTTAATGGCCACTTCCAGGTTTACCCAGGTAGGAAATTTTGTAGCAAGGTTATTATAATCGGATGGCCTTCCTGCCACCAACCCCCTTTTCGGTGGTTTTTACACCCCGTCGAGGAGACCATGATCTTATTCTCTAGACCCAGACCACAAGGAACCTTTTAGACCTCCACTAGCAGCCACTAGACGTTGCCCCCCTCTCACCCACGATGAGGCTAAAGGTAGGATAACGGGTGGGGGTGGGTGGTTAAAACATAATTTAGAAGGGCAGGATGAGTAAAAATGTATCGGCATTGATAGTTGCACGACACAACATTTTGAAATATTATTAGATTTAAATGTGATCAAAGTTAAAACGCGCCTTAATACTAAAATTATATCATCTGGTATTAGATTAAGGAACAGACGAATGGCGGGAAAGAAAAGAATATATTTAGCCTTTTTAAGTATTTAATTCTTTCTTCAATCCTAAATTATAAAAAAAAACTAGCTTTCTAGAGGGCCCTAAAGTTGTAACATAGTGACATGGTTGGGTCGTTCGTAGGATAGGCTTGGATAATTCGAATCGAGCCCTTTCATAATATTTTACTTACGAATAATAGGAGCGAAAACTAGGCGTGATAAGGGAAACGGAATATTTATCCCAAATCAGTACGGTGGGCTTTGAGGATATTATAACTCGAATGTTTAAAGATAATGAAGATGGAAAACTGATTGGGTTGGATTCCTTTTTTTTTATATATAACAGCTGTTTTTAAAACAATCTAATATTTTTTTAAAACATATGAATTTGCATTACGAAGAGGCATAGATTAAATTAATTTTATTTTTAACAATCAATATTTTAGGTATAATTATAATTGATAAAAAAAATATATATATCATGATTCCGTCTGACACTGGGGTCCACTCCAACCAGCGTAACATTGGCACGCATAACCATCAAAAGCGGCATAACATCTGCAGATATTGTTCCCAAAGGATTCCAGACTTTTGTTATAATAATAAGGTATCTCCCAAAATTTATCGTAAATTTGCTCCGATTTAAGTAAGCTCTCGGAGTCTGTTACAGGTTGATTCAGGAATAAAGACTTGACGCATCTACCATTTCCTCCACAAACACAATCGCTGCAAGCTTTTTTTTAAAGGCATTTTTGGATGTTAACAAGAAAAATTCAATATAATATAAGTCAACTATTTTAAAACATTATCATTCATATTTGACTATCCTTCGTGACTAACCTAAAACTTGATATTCATATCTCTTAAAGGTATTTGAAATCAAAATAAAATTTAAAATTCCCCAATATATTATTTTTTAACATTGAAAAATGCTCAGGCCATTGATTGTTATCTTTTTTTCATCTAAAATTAATTATAGCTGCAAATGTAACTGTATATATATATATATATGTAAGAACATTTGATAAAATTTTACATATAGGTTATAAGAAGGAGAATAGAGAGTGTATAACATTTAATATTTTGAAAACTTACAATTAGCGTAACTCAGCATATTTCTAGCAATTGGACCCAGTGTATTTTTAATATATTGAACTAATAGCGAGCAATCACCGAAATCGCTATAATCTCCCCATAAAATCTATTAATAAAATTTAACCAAAATTTTTTTTTCTTTTAAGTTGTTTATTTGTGTATTTATTTTTTTTTGTCTATATAATGGCGGTGCCAGGTCAGGTATGGATAGTAACGATCCGATACCGGTAAAATTATGTAATCGGTTACAGATACAAAAGAAAAAGAGTCGCATCAATGTATCAAAATAGTCACCCTTTAGTAGAGTTATATAATCGAATTATAAAATGAGTTAATTTATTTGTTAAACTATTCCCGACGAACCAGCGTCTATCGCTTGTCCAATACTATTTTCCATATCAACTGGGGTTAGAAAGTTCGGAAAAGGTTCTTGAACGTAATGATAGCGAATATAAGGAAATATGGGGATATCGACATCACCCACGTAATCGCTAATTCGCTTCGCTTCGTTCATTCCTATAATAATTTATATTGGTTTAGCGGCATTTAAATAGTTTTGGGTTTAGCCCACCCGAAATCGGACCGGACGTACCCGATGGGGCACAAATAAAATCGAAAATTTGTTGACATAGTATCATAATGCCTTCTTTTTTTTATAAATGAATTCTTCGATTCTATAATCTTTATATGGCTACAATAAAAATGTTGAAAGAAAGAAATGAAAGAAAGAAAGAATAAAATAAAGAAAGAATGAAAGAGAAAAAAAAGAAATAAGATATATTTATTACTATAAAGATGCTCCCCTGAACAAATTTTTGTAAAAATTGAGATGGAACAATGTAATATTCAATAAACGGATTTTAACAGAATAAATCTCTGAAACTAATTGAAACTTTTTATAAAAAAAAATAATATTTAAATAATAGGTTTCATTTCAATTGTTATAAAATTCTTTATTTTCAGAAAAATGAAGAAATTTGACATTTAAAAAAAAATTTTCGATGATTTTTACGTATTTTATTTAGCGTTTTTTTATTATTGTAATATAAAAATTTGGATTTTATGATGGATAAATTGTATCTTTAATTTCCCAAAATACAACGTTACTTTTCAAGATATAAAGGGCTCGCATTTCGGTATCGGGTATATCGCGCGGATGCAAGTAACAATTTGGATACAACGCGAAACTGTTTTGATATAACCAATGAGCTCTCTCGTTCAGTATTTTGAGCTTTCCGTCGCAAAAATATCCGCTATTAGCTATTCTTTGATATGAATTGGATCATAATTTTATTATTCCATAATTTCTGCCTAGAAAATGATTTTCTTATTAAAGTTCGCGATGTGTTGCGGTGCGTAAGTAATAGTCAATCGTATTTAAATAAGATCGGCTCAAATGAAGGGTTATTCCTTCCTTCCTTCCTTCCTTCCTTCCTTCCTTCCTTCCTTCCTTCCTTCCTTCCTTCCTTCCTTCCTTCCTTCCTTCCTTCCTTCCTTCCTTCCTTCCTTCCTTCCTTCCTTCCTTCCTTCCTTCCTTCCTTCCTTCCTTCCTTCCTTCCTTCCTTCCTTCCTTCCTTCCTTCCTTCCTTCCTTCCTTCCTTCCTTCCTTCCTTCCTTCCTTCATATATTATAAATTACTTGGCGCAAAAAGGGTACATGTAGTATCCCCATTTGGCACGAGGTCGCAATTCTCTAAGCCTCTTAATGGTGTTTAGTATAAAAAGTTTGACAGCCATTTCGTAATCGATCCTCGCACCCGCGTTTATGAGACTGATATTCGTTATAGACGGGTTTTCACTTCTGTAATAAGCTATGGATGCATCCTTTTTTTGTTTTGTTTGTAAGAGTAAAATGTTAGGAAAATTTAGTTCTAATTTGAATCGTTAAAATTTGAATGAAAGAAAGAAAGTAGGAGCGAAAGAAAAGAAGAAAGAATGAAAGAAAGAAAGAAAGAAAGATGTAAAACAGATAATATATAAAAAAAACGTCTTTCGTTTTATTTTTCAAGGGTTAAAATACGAATAAAAAAACATGTTTAAAAAATTATTTTGTCAAAATTTAAAAACACCTCAAAAATGATATATTAAAATCTATAAAAAAAAAAATTAATTTTTAATTTGTAGAAGGATTGTTAAGAAAAATTTTTCCCCCACAAATTTTTGAATTTTATTTAAAATGATTGTGACCATTTATTTGCGTATTATTGAAGAAATAAAACAGAATAAAAAACAATAATGGATTTTTTCGTTTTTTTCCCGAAAAAAACGTTTTTTTTTCTCCCCCAAATTTTTAAATTTTATTTAAAATGATTGTGACCATTTATTTGCGTATTATTGATGAAATAAAACAGAATAAAAAACAATAATGGATTTTTTTTCGTTTTTTTTTATCACGAAGTTTTTTTTTAAAAAAAATATTAAAAAAGTAAAATGTGAGTTTTGATACAATTAAATCCATATCGCCTCTTCAGGAGTTGGGAAAGTGAAATAAATCAAATAACTCAACTAGAAAGTGTTACTTATCAAATACACTTAAAAACGATTTTAAATCGAATCGATAGGTTCGATTCGCTAAAGTCGGTTACGGTTCAACAGAGAGGTTCATTTAGCGATAACCGTTCCGCCACCGATCTCTAATAAATAGGATCGATTTTGTATCGATAATTTAGCGTGTGAGGGAGATACTCCGGATTTCTAATAATATTACATGATAAATTTTGTATATTCCATCGTTCATTAAACTCCACCAGGGTAGATATTTTTCGAAATCTATCACGGCAAATCCCTGAAACAATATTTTTTTTTTTAAAAAAAAAAAAAATTAAATATACAAAAGGTAATAATAAACTTGCGCCATTTTAAGTTAAGACACACTAAGCCATTAAAATAAGTTAAATATTAGGCTGGCGGGCGCACCGAGGGAGTTCATCAAGTGTCGGCTCTCGATTTGTGACGCATTTTTAAAAAAATGGCGATCTCAATATTTTCACCTTTGTGCCATCTATGAACAAAAAAAATATTCGAGCCATTTTTTTTTATCTGGGCTCAAATCTGGGCCGTTCAACAAACACTCACCGAATAATATTATATGAATATAAATAAACGTCAAAATTTGTATTCGGCACGAGTGATTCCAAGTCGCTCTCCACTTTAGCGAGATGCTTAGAAATATCGCTCTTCTGAGGGATTCCGCCGTTGACTTCGTCGGTTTTATTCGTGACAGTATTTGTGGTCAAACTAGGCCAAAGACCTAACTGGGAATCGTAGAATAGGGATATTAAGTTGCCTCTCCAGGTCTCGTTAGGATTTGCTTGTATACCATATGATGCCAAATTAAGGTCATTCTTGTACCTATTCAAAAATACATGGATTAAATTATTTTACTGAAGGAGGGAGGGAAGGGGGGGGGGGTGTTCTGTTTCCTACATTATGGAAGCGGTAAAAACGCGTAGCTGCATTTTTTGTATATGGATGCGATTACCTGCCACAAATTAAACTTAATATTAAGACTTAAAAATCTTTCATCCAATAGAAACTCTCGGGAGGTGTCATTCATATTTTCTAGTTAAATGTAGTAAAACATCATGTGGATGCCATATGATTAAGTTTGGGGAAAACTTAAATAGATTATTTTTTTATGATAAATAATTAAATTTAAGTAAATTTTTGTTCATTTTAAAAAAAAATAAATAATGAATATATACCCATTATTATCGGCAAATAATGCCAGAAGGGAAGGGGGAGTGGGGGGGGGATCATTTGAAAGGATTATACGCCGCCTTTCCCTGATTAATAGCAGTGTTTCAGAATTCAAAAATTATAATTCTTATTTAAAAGTGCAGAGTGCAAAATAAATTTTTAATTGTAAGAATTATAAATTATAAATCTTTGGGTAAATGAGGCGATAAAAATAAATTTCTTCAAATAGTTGGCCAGTAAGATTGTCTTACAGGAAGCATATTTGCCGCCATTTTTAAAAAATGGCGGCGCCGTTCAATCGCCATTAACAATTCCATTTTTTAATAATCCTATGCCTGAAGTTCTCTATTTTTTTGGAACTTTTCGTCACGTGACAGTCCTGTGGAGAGTTAGAATGCGTTTTAAAGATCAAAAAATATAATTTTGTTTTGATATAAAAATAGAAGAACATGTCCTAAATATAAATCTAGAAAATCTTAAAAACATATTTGATTTGGTTAAAAATTTTAAAAACTTTTGTGAAAGTTAATTTTTTTTTTTTGTGAAATTTTTTGAAACCAGGTTTAGGACACAGCGGCAAGTAAATATTTTTGTAATTTTCGTACAAATTATTTTCTTTTAAAACTGTTACATTAATAGCCAAACCGGAAGCTAAAGATATTTAATAGTAAAAAATAAAGGGAAGGAAAACTTTGCACATAGAGTTATTATATGTTACAATGTATATAGATACCTAATTTTGCAAATTTGTGTAGGAGAATTCCAAATGATTTGAAAAGCTCTCTCGGGGAAAATTCGGGGGGGAAATCTCGTCAGGATTAAGATTATTAAGGATACATACATTTTCGTGATAATAAATTTAGATTTGGAAGAAATAGGTTAATTTTACATTAATTTTAAATGAGTTTAAAATGAGATGAATATCTTTTTGATATAGTAAATAAACATCGAACGACATGGTTATATTTTAAACCTTGAATTTGATATATATATATATAACGAAATTAAATATATCTTTTTTTATAATGTTAAAATAAAAAAAAAACATTTCGTATCCCTATTTCTATTAACTTTATATACAAAAAAAAAATTTGTTACGTTAAATCTAAAGATTTTTTGAAAAGGCATAACATTTTTGCCAGTGGGAATAATTTGGCGCGCTTAAAACTCGTGTAAACATCAAAAGAAGCGCCATTCCACCAAGATTTTCCCCAAAAATCGAACACACTAATACTTATCATATATTTTATTATCTTATAAATTAAGTCTATTAATTGGCATGACGATAAGTGAAATAATTCTTTGAAAGATACAATTCTTGGAGTTGAAACTTTATGGATTCTTTATTTTTTTTTTATTTAGGAATCAATGGGAATATTTAATTTTGTAAAAATTTTTGCACTATTTTTTATAAATAAACGATATATATACTTTAACTTAGAGTTGTTAACCGTCTTGTTTTGAGCCTGTTTTTAAAAACGGCTAACTCACTACTTCATCTAGAAAAATATTAGCCAAGCCCTGAAGATTTTGCTCGTAGAAGGAAAAAAAGGTTCTTAGACATATATTATCGAAATCTTGTTTCTTAGGCATCCTTTTTCTGGCTAAAATAGAGAGTTAGCCATTTTTAAAAATGGGCTCAAAACGAGACATTTAACAACACTAATTTTAACCATCTGGAGCCCTGGTGGGGTCTATGAGTAAAAATGTGTTTATACTTGGAAATTTCTCTATCTCATTGCAGATTTTTTAAAAAAAAATAGTTTAATGATTTTGTATGGAATAGATGTGTTCAAAATTATCTATCGCTCTCATCCGGTAGTTTATGTAGTCATAACTGTTATTATGGCTTTAGCGGTGACAAAACACAACCATACCAAATAATTATCCGTTTTTTTATTTTATCTCTTTCTTATAAATTGTAAAGATTTTAATATTTATAGCCTGTCGTAACTATCGGGTATGACTTCCATTTTAAATTCAAATTTCGTCAATTCAACTCCATGGTATATAATGGAAATAAATACAAATTTTGAAATGCTTTATAAATTTCTGGAAAGAATAATTTATCGGGAGAAAAACTGCGAGATTGATATACACTATGGTATCACGTCAATTCGGTGAAGCGTCAGTTCGGAGCAGCATAGGCGTGGCGACAATTCAGCACGGCGTCAGTTTATCTCCTATCTAATACAGTTTCAATTTTATTAGTATAAAACAATAGGACCATCAAATAGGAGTCATGTTGAGGGTTGGATATCATCAAAAAAAATTTTTTCAAATTATATTTTTAGAAGTGAAGGAATTAACAAAAGGGAAGTCTCATGCTCTAGGAGGTAGGGGGAATTGGAAACCTCGGTGCTTGTCTAACTCCATTGCAAAGAATTTTACCAATCAAATTCGCTTCAATAACATGTATAATAAGATTTCCTAAGACTCTTTCAGTGTTTCGATAAAAATGGTGTTTGTGTAAAAGTCCATGGAAAGGCACCAGTTGCATCATCCACGGGAACAGATGCAAGAGTAAGAACATTTGTCTAATTTTTATTGACCACTCATTTCCTGGCATCTCTGTCCAAATAATTCGCTATTAACTCTCCATCTTGTATGTGTCTCCAAATCGATTGGGTCATAAGAAAAAAAAGTACCCTAATATAGTTATTTAATGGAATGAAAGAGTAAAGGAATTTATTTCCGCCTTCTTAAAATCAATCATTAACGATATAAGATTTATATTATTCTGTAACCTTTTTATCTCATCCCAAGATCCTTATACACGTAATCTGGATATTATTCGATAGTAGTACAAAAATTGTGGGCACTACCGCGTTTTAATAGGACATGGAGGCTCCAAAGTTGGTGAAAAATTGAGGGGGATTTTTTTTAACTTGCCATCTGCATACCAGTGACCGCTTTCCGCCATCGTAAGGCCTTGGGGGGGGGGGGGTGGCTAATTTTAAAATTCTTGGCAGTTCCGGTTGCATATGCTTGCTGTCATACTGAAGGAATGGCAATTCTGAACATGTTATTCTATAGTTATAGGATAAATCTAGATAATAGCCTCTCGTTGGCTAAGTAATGGAGAACCTATAAGCTATCTAGTAGAGGTGGGCGCGGGCCGTGAAATTACACGTGACCCATCGTGTCACGGTGGGTCATGGCGTGAGTGTGAAAAAATTATAAATTCCAAGGCGTGACTGGGCGTGGCGGGTCTTCACAAAATTTTCCCCGGGCGTAATCGGGAGTGAACATAAATTTCCCGTGAATCACGGAAATTTTAATTTTTAAAATTGTTTTTTATTTATAAATATAAATTTGCAATTTTATAATTATATTATATATTTTCTTATTTAATTTAGTTCTTTTTTAAAAAAAAAGAAAAATTTATGAAAACTAAAAATCTTCCGCATTTTATAAACAACATCCGGTAACATTTCGTTAGCTCTATTTTCATTTTATGTTTAGGTGTTTTTTATCGCGAGACTTTATGCTAAATTTTGCTTAAATTTTTTACAGAAAAGTCAGTTATATTTTATTAGTAAAGATCTTCAATCTTTAAATGCATCAGAAAGTGAAGGATTTTACAAGCCAGGCCAAAAGATAAATGTTGGTATTAATATGGATTCCATAGTATAACAAAATATAAAAGTTGTGAACCGGAAAACTCTCATGAATACTATAGGTCCAAAAATATACCATGAAATAAAATTTCAGATTAAAAGCATGATCAATAATAATTACTTCATAATCACTGATATTTGGACGGATGACTATAAAAATATAAGTTTTTTAACCATTAAAGTACTACGTACATATTATCATTAAAGATTTTACATTAAAAACATTTGTTTTGGCTACAAGGACAATGGATGAAAAAAAAGTCAATTTTAAAAGTGTAGTTAATTTTTTAGGAGAATATACAGAAGTAGAAAATTACTTAAATAAATGTATAGTTGTGAGTGATAACGGAGCAAATCTTATAAGTGCATTCAAAGGATGAAACGCTAGCATGTATATGCCATATAATAAAAAATATTATATTTATATTTTTATAACTGAAATAGCCTTAAATATAAATGGTGTAAAAAAATAGTACAATATTTCAAACAATCTACAGCTAATAGCAAACTAAGTCACACCCTTAAACAAGATTGAATAACGAGATGGAACTCTGTATATATCATGATATAGAGTTTTAAAATCATATTTTGAAACACAGGTGTATTTGTTTAGCAAGCAAGAATTAAATAGATTAGCCACAATTGATATCAGCATCATACGCGAGTTAGATAAATTTTTATCAATATTTAAAGAATGCTCGGATAATCTGAGAGCAGATTCTCGTCCCACAACAAATGCACTTTGTCTATGGAAACAAAAATTAGTAAAATTTTGTTAACCTTCTGAACGTGATACAATAATAATCAAAACCTTAAAATACAGAACAAGATTTCTTTTAAAAGATTATTATGCAGCCACTACATAAGGTAGGCTTAATTCTAGATCCGAATTTTAAAAGACTTAAGTTTTTAATAAAAGAAGAAAAGGATGATATATATAAAACAATCAAAAATGCTAAATGATATAAAATTAGATGATATGCATAAGTCGATGCCAACTATCATTTATAACTCCTAATTCATCCTACACTCATAAAAGACCTATATTCTAAATGAAAATATTAGAGAATTTCTAGATGATTCTGATGAAACATCAACATCACCGATGAAAGCTGTGAGGATGAACTTAAAAGATTCACATAAGTTAAATAACAAGACAATATTTTGAAGTTTTGGAAGCAGGAATATTCATTTGAGAAAATTATATAGTAAAGTTTTGTCAGCTTCAAGTTCGGCTTCTAGTGAAAAGGTTATTTTCTGTAGCAAATCTCTTATTAGAGGAAAGATGTACACAATTGTAATAAAAAAAAGATGGACTTTCTTCTTTTTCTTAATAATTTCGATTTATAGATTGTTTATTTTTTGTTTAGATATATAAATAGAAATGAATTCAAAAAAAGTGTAAAATTATATGCGAAAAATTTAAAAACACCGTGAATTTTCCGGCGTGAATCAAAATATTGCTTTTCGTGAGAGGGTGGGTCTGGTCGAAAATTTTTAGTGGTAAGCGTGAATTTTTTTTATTGCCATCGTGAGCTTAAGCCCGCGACCTCTAAGATGTAGCCCTCTGGATGGTACCGTTATTGATGTGATGGGTTGAAGGGCAGCATGAAGGGATGGGGAACCCCCTTGCTATTGCAACGCTTATAATTTTCTGAGGTGTATCAGTCACCTCAATAGCACGTTTTTTTAAATGTTATTTAAGCTTTCGGTTTTTAAGACCTCAATACCATCTCATACATGATCATGATTATTGTCTATATGAAGAATTACTTCTTCATTTAATGTATGGTATCGCTCTTTGCAACGGGCAGATCTACCTTCCAATAATTTATAAGAACTCTATGCATTTCCATATTGTTTTTTTTTTGATTTATCGTTCTCTCTTTCCTGGATATACACCCATCATGAACAAGTTGTTTTGACACACTTCCCATTTATAACATAATTTAAAGGTATTCTTAAAAATAGAAGTAAACTATAATATTGAAAACAAAATGATATACATGAAATAAGATTATTAATATTTGCCTTATAAAAGATTATAAATTATGGAAGGAAATTAAAAATATTAAAATTTTCTTACAAAGGTTAAAAAAATTTTAAGATTAAAAATAAAATTTTTGTATTTATTAATTTGTTGTCTAAAAAAAAATGGAGATTTATTGAGGAAAATAATGATTCGAATTCTTTATAAAATTATTGAACAAAATATTTTTTTTTGTTTGTCTAAAATTTGGCGGGGAAAAAAGTGGTGATTAAGATTTAACATAATTTTGGTTATTCATATTTATATTATTTTTCTAAACTTTTTATTTATTTTTATTAATTAATATTTATTGATAAATAATGAAATACTTAATTGTACGTTGATTTATTTTATAATAGAAAAATAGGGGTAAACTTAATTAGTTATTATATTGAAAGTTTTATATAAAGACCTTTAAACATGAGACTTGTTCCTTCCTTTATCAATAAATTAAATTATTTTTTAGAATATAGTAAGTGTTTACAAAAAAATATAAAAAATTTAATATTGTCAATTTATAAAATTAAAAATTTATTTTGAAAAAAAAATGAATGAAAACTCAGTCAAATAAAATATTCTTTTTTAAAAAATGTTATTAAACTAATTTACCTAAATATGATGGCGTTATATATTTAAAAAAAATTTTATTAAAAAAAATAATTAACGTTTATATAGCGTATATATATAAAAATTTTTTTTGTTTACTTGCATTGCTATACCATAAAGCAATGCAATAACTTTCAAAATAGCCATCGTATTTATCATGAATGTAGATAAAGAAAACTAAATAGAGGGGGGGGGGATTAAAATACTTAAAGATTAGTTTTAAAAATAAACCTTAATTATTTTTCTCAAAAAAAAAACAATTTAATATGGTTTAAAATCTTAGATAAATCAATATTAATAATATTAAAAATTTTTTTTGTTTAATTTTAAATAGTCATTTGGGTATTATCGAAATACCATAATGACAACAAAATAATATAGTACATAGCAACAATTAACAAACAATATTCTTTAACAGGCGAATTACTTTGTTTCATAATATTGTACATAGCCTTCCACCATGAGTTTTATGGTGATTCAGTATATTAAAATGAACCTTTAAATGTTTTAAGCGAGTAAATTCTGGTATATAATAAAATTTTTAAAATAATAAACGCCAACTTGCGGATTCAATATTATCGAAATTATGTAAATTAATATTTTATATTTCTCTTTTTTTTACTATTTCTTTACAAGGTTTAATAACCAACTTTTATTTCTTTTACTTTTTCAATATTTTATAAATATTGATATTGATAGAATAATTGTAAAGGTATCTTTATTTGACGTCAATGAAATAGTTGTCGCGATACCATCAATAAATTATTGTAGTATAATTTTTTTTATAACAATTGACGATTATTTCCTGAATTACGAAATTTTCATGTTGACATTCTTTAGGATCAAGATCCTATTAAATTTTATTTTTCCAAATAATTTCTATTTTATCATTATTATTATTATTTTAATAATTATAAATTTTATGATAAAACACTTAAAAAATATTAAAACAAAGTATATAAAAATATATAAAAATTACCAAAATAAAATATATATCTTATAAGTATCGAAGGATCTAAAAAGGAGCTTAATTTAATGATGAATATGTACCTAAAAAAAACGAGTAGCGTTGAAGTTTTTGTTCAAGAAATATGGATTCGCGATTTTCGTTTGTTATATTAAAAATTTTTTGGCATGTAGACTGAAAAATTGTCGTTGGTCGAAATGACTATTGGCTGAAATATAAATTTTTTTTTATATTTTACATATTTATTAATTTTTTTTATTCTCCCCGCTAGTATAAGAGGGTTTAAATGAATTAATGAGGGAAAGGAGGAG